GAGCACAGTCTCCCAGGTCCCTTCACCCTGAGCTGGGAAGTGAGGGCCTAGAGCACAGTCTCCCAGGTCCCTTCACCCTGAGCTGGGAAGTGAGGACCCACAGTCTCCCAGGTCCCTTCACCCTGGGTTGGAAGTGCAGGTTCCAGGCTGCTCATGGCAGTCCCAGAGCATGGTAGCCCTCAGCCTGCTCCAGCCTTTTCCTGGGCCTGTCTGGCCCTTGTGGGCAGTGACTGGACTTTTTGCCTGCGTGGAGTGTGGGGTTCTGTTGGAACCTCCATAAGTGACGTTTCAGATTGATTTCGTTACCCTGGCATCTGTGAATGCTGGGGTGGTCACTCTACTCCAGTGTGGGAGGGAAACTAAATGTCTCAATCTTGGCCCAGGACAGGGCTGCCTAGGAGGTCCTGTCCCTATGCCCAGCTGTGCAGCTTCCGTGAGGGGTGTGGGTTCCAACCTGGGCTGCGGCTCTGAGCTGCTCAGTGACCTCATCAGACTGACCAGCTTCAACCTAGAGGAGCCCCAGTCCTGCTCTCACCTCTCTCAGAGCCCTAGTCTTGCCTTTTCTTCTCATACCGTGCCTCCTATTAGCTATGCAGGGGGACAATCCTGCTCCTGGCCTCTGGGTCAGCCCTGGCTGTGTCCTGTTGCCCGTCCTCTCCACTGTCCTGAAAAGGCTGTCTGAGCTGCGATTTCCACCTTCAGTAACAGTGCTCTTCCTTCCTGGGCCGTATCTAGTCTGATTCTTGTTTTCTTTTTCTTTTTTTCTTTTTTTTTTTTTTTTGTGGTGCTGGGGATTGAACCCAGGGCCTTGTGCATGTGAGGCAAGCGCTCTACCAACTGAGCTATGTCCCAGCCCCCAGTCTGATTTTTATAATTTTTTTAAATTATGGTAACATACATAATGTAAAATTTGCCATCTTAAGCCTGAGCTTAGGGGCAGTAAGCACATTCATGCTGTCTTGCAACCACAGCCACGACCTCCCCAAAGAACTTGTTTTTTTAATATTTATTTTTTACTTATAGGTGGACATATATCTTTATTTTTTTATATGGCGCTGAGGACCGAACCCAGGGTCTTGCATGTGCTAGACGAGTGCTCCACCTCTGAGCCACAATCCCAGTCCCCTAAAGAACTCTTTATCTTCCTGAACACTAACAGCCATGACCCTCTGCAGCCTCTGCATCTGGTGTCCCACCTCTGTCTCTACAGACCTGCTTCCTTTAGGAACTGCACCTCCCAGGAGTGGGATTCTGCCCTCCTACTGCTGGCTTCTCTGGCTCAGAATCAGGTCCTCAAGGTTCCTCACATGGCCGCTGGGGCACGGTCTCCCTTTTGTGGGCTGGTACCAGCTGCTGTGGGTGCTTGCTGCTGCCGCCACCTGGCTACTGTGAACCCTGTGCCTGTGTGCGAGTAGCTCCTACCCTTGGCTTTGCAAATAAAAGTCTTATTAGAACATGGCCATGTGCACATGTGCCTTCTCATCCTCTGTGGCTGCTCTTGCCATCAGAGCAGAGCTGAGTAGCTGGCACAAGGCCACACACCTGCGAGCCTAGAACATGTGTCATTTGGCCAGTCCCAGTCCCACTCTTTCCAACATTCTTGAAATCTCTGCCATGAGATGACATAAAGGCAAAGTCGTTGACTTGACTACCTGCTCTAGCTTCCTGCAGCTGCCCCTTCCCTCGCTCTGTGGTGGCCTCTGCTGCCCTTGCCTGGGTTTCTGCCTCCTATGGCCCAGGCTCCTGTGGTCCCTGGACAGCAGAGGCCCTGTCCTGGGCCCCTCTCATGCTGTGGCTGCTCAGGGCTCCATGTCTGATGGTGGCTCTGGTGGGCACTGTTGCTTCCCATCTGGTGCATGGTTCAGACTGCTCTGAGCTCCACAGACTGACACTCAGGGCCTGGGCAGCATGGGACAGCACAGGGCAGTGCAGGGCCATGGGCCTGCTTGGCAGCTGCTCCACCTTGCCAAGCCCCGTGTGCTCTGGTGTAGAATGAGGACGACATTCCTCTTGCTAGGCTGCTGGGAGGGTTAGGGCTCAACCACCTGACGGCCTGGTATAGCTGGCAGCATGCGTGAGGTTGTGTGGTAACAGGAAATAACCGTGCCCTACCCCTCCCCAGTCTTCCTCTTCCTTCTGGACCAGTTCCTGGCCCCACCCTGTCCTGCTGTCCTACTGTCCTCTGCCTGCTCTGTCCACTTGTCCTGTGTTCTCAGTGCTCTGAGCCTGACCTCGTTGTCATGTGGTCTTTCTACAAAGCACACCACTCTGTGCTGATGACCCCTCGTGGGGCCGCTCCTGACCTCCCTACCTTCTCCAGGAAGCCCTCCCCCCGGCCTGCGGTCCCCTGAAGGCCTTCCCATGCAGGGAAACCATAGCTGGGGGCAGAGGGCCCAGGACTCACTGTGGGTGGGCTGGGCAAGCTTGTGCTCTTCCATGAAGCCCTGAGATGCCCTCTCCTCCCCACAGCTACAGAGGTCCGGAGCTGGAGATGTGGTCTCTGGGGGTCACACTGTACACACTGATCTTCGAGGAGAATCCCTTCTGTGAAGTGGAGGAGACCATGGAGGCAGCTATCCACCCCCCACGCCCTGTTTCCCAGGGTGAGCAGGATTACCAGATGGTGGGGAGATGTGTCCTGAGCTGCTGTCAGTTCTTGCTTCTGTTTCCTCTCATACCAGTGATCTTATTTACCTTCCTCTTCCATTTCCTGTGTTTTGATCTGAACATAAGAACAATTTGAGTCGGGCATAGTGGCACACCATGGCTGAGGCAGGAGGAGCCCAAGTTGCCCCAGACTGCACAACTTAGTGAGACCCTGTAAAACAGAGCACTTGCCTAGCATGCACAGACCCTAGGTTCAACCCCTGCACACACAGGCAGATGAGTGATCTGAGGAAGACTTAAAAAACTCTGGATGATTAGTTCTTATTAGTGTCTCTTGGGTGTTAGAGGCCCTTTGTCAGTGATCGACTTCACAGCTGTACCCTTTCTGAGCAGCACCTGGAAGATCAGGCATGTAGGTCAGAGGAAGCACTAGACCCCGACAGCTCACCCTGGAGCCTCCCCTTCCAGAGCAGGTGAGGGTTGAGGGCTCAGCTCCCCTCAGGCTGCGTGCTGTTTGCCTCTGGAGTGAGGACCAGCGTGGTGAGGCAGATGTGGGATCAGTGGCCAGAAAGGCTTCCCAGCCTGGAGTGGGCTGCTCCGTGCTTCCACACCAGGAGATGCCCCAGGGACTGGCAGGAACAGTCAGGTGTTGGCCAGGAGACTGGACACCAGGGTTCCCACGTTAAAATCTATAAGACAAGAGCATCCTCGTGCTCAACATCTGTGCCTGGATTCTTTCCTTGTTAGAGACTGTTGTCTGGGTGACTGCACCGCAGATAGGCCCTCAAACAGCAGACATGGATTCCTCAGTCTGGGAGCTGGAAATCTGAGGACGAGGTGCCCTGGGTTCTCTTCGTGGTCAGGGCTCTTTTCCTGGCTTGTAGGTGTCCTCTGTGGATTGGAAGCCTAGTCCTTTCCCTCTCTTATAGGGATGCTCACCCTGTACCTCAGGGCCTCAGCTAACCCTGATGGCCTCTGGTGGTCCCACCACTTCAACATGCACAGTTTTGGGGACACCACCCAGCTAGGGCACCCTAGCAGAGCATTTTTAGAGCTGTGCTAAGGTCACAGCTCTGTGGCATGCTGCTCCATCCACAGAGGTTGTCCCAAGGGTTCTCACAGGTTCACAAGGTTCCCCTGGGACAGTGAGGTTCAGAGTGTCCCCGACACCCACATTGTTGGAGGAAATGGAACCCAAATCTAGAGCCAAAGCTTCAGCTTCTCTCAGAGTCCACGCTCTTCCCATGGGGCCAGTCGGGGGCCAGCTGCCTCTCTCCAGCCTTTGTGTCCACCCGAGTACTCACAGCTCTGCAGAGCTGCGCTCCTGACAGCAGGCCACCTGGGGCGCCAGGCCTCTGAGACCGAGTGAGTTGGGTCTCAAGCTCCAGGCTCCCATTTTAGGGGTGTCTCTCTCCCCAGGAGGCCTTCCCTGGGCATTCCAGGCCCAGCCTGAGCCCCAGCCTCCTCTTCCTCCTACCTCTCCCCCCTCTGTGGGGGTCTGAGATGTGCTCTGCTAGCCCCAGCCTGGATCCACCTGTGTTTCTTCATCTCCAGCACTCATGAGCCTTGTGTCTGGGCTGTTGCAGCCTGCCCCTGAGCAGCGCACCACTCTGGAGAAGCTGGTGACGGATCCGTGGGTAACACAGCCTGTGAATCTGGCTGCTTACACCTGGGAAGAGGTGTGTCGAATAAGCCAGCCAGGTGAGAGCTTGCTTGGTGTGGGGAGGTGCCCAGGCTATCTGGCCAGGGGAAGCCCCCTCCTCCTTGCTTTCCTGGATACATGTCAGGCCTCACAGCTGCCTGGGAGAAAGGAATGGGTTCTGTGCCAGAGGCCACTGGATGTCACCAGGGTTCAGGGAATGGCTGTGGCCTTGAGGGAGGGCAAGTGCCCAGGAGAGCCCTTGGCAGGAGCAGTGGGGGCCAGGGCCTGAGGAGTGCAGCTGGTGTTGGCTGCAGATGTGTGATACCCTGGGGATCATGGGGACAAGGCTCTGGTACAAGCCAGAACCACTGCTCAGAGCAGGTGGACCAAGTTGGCACCAGTGGCCCTGGGCTTAAAATCCCCCAGCACCTTGTCATGTCCAGAACACTGACTGCGGTTTTTCCAAAGTCTCCCTCCCCCTCCTTGTTCCTCAGACTTGTAGTGAGAATCTTCTGTTGTCAGGCATGGTGACGCACACCAGTGACTTGGGAGGCTGAGGCACAAGGAGTGTAAGTTCAAAGCCAGCCTCAGCAACTTAGCAGGACTCTGTCTTCACATAAAATATTCAAAAAAAGAGCTGGGGATTTGGCTCTGTGTTTAAGTTCCCCTAGGTTCAATCCCTAGTACCCCCACTTTCCCCACGCCCCCCAAATAAAATCTCCAATTGTTGGCATGGGACACAAAGTCTTTTTCCTCCCATCAGAGAGCAACCTCCTGTCCACTGCAAGTTTGGAGCTGGGCAACAGGAGCCTGAGCGACGTGCCTCGGGCTCGGGGGCTCTGCAGGCTTCCTACCCCTAGCGAGTCCCCCAGTGGCCAGTGCTGCTTGTGTCCTGAGGACCCCTCCCCACCAGTGGGCTGAACACACACACTTCCTGCTGCTCTTCTTCACTCAGGTTGGAGAATCATAGATTTCAGGTCCTGTCTACTTAAAAGAAAGTAAATTCTCAAGAATGGAGCCCAATTTACCTTCTAAAAGCCCACATACAACTGGACAAGTGCTACAATGGGAGCAGGTGTGACTGTTTTCTTAGGTTTATAAAGTAAACTTGGAGTCCGTGTTTTTTTTGTGACCCTGAGAAAGCATTCTAATGTACAATTACTTTATTAAAGTTCTTTTATTTGTGAGCTTATAAAGGGAAGAGTGTTTTAATTATCTATTTTTGTGTGTGTATATATATGTACAAATTTTGTTCCCTGTGACTTGGTAAGTGATCAGCTAATTGATGTGTGGAATCTATAGAACCGGTTAGCAGATAACCAGACTAGTTCATTAATTTATTTCCTTGAATACTTTCCAATTAAAGCCATTTTGTTAATAAATGATCCCCCTAATGGGAAGTCTATGAACTGTCCACCAGGCCTGGTGTGAGAAGGACTTGCCTTGTTTTTCTGTTTATGCACAGCTTACTGCAGCTGGAGAGAAGTCTAGTCTCTGTCAGTCTGGGAGACAGTCTCACAGGGTGCTGGAAGCTTTTCCCCCTCAGATGCCTGGGGAGTTGCAACATCCTTGGACACTTCCCTTCTTAAGCACAGCTCAGCAGGGCCAGGTCTGCCAGGTGTCTGAGCTCTCAAGGAGACTCCTGAGGACCCAGGGTGGCCTGCTAACACTCTGCAGATGCCCTACAGCAGACCCAGCCCCATCTCTGAGTTTGTGTGAGGTTTCCAGGCCCAGCTACCAGGAGTTAGTGACCTTTTTTGCTTCAGAATTAAAATGAGATTTCTGATGATCTAAATACTATTTTCATGAATTAAACGTTTTCCCTGGTGTTCATGATGGTTATAAAGCACAAGATATCACAGAATGCATTGTTTTAATAAGAAAAAGCAATGAAAACATCTGGCTGGATGGCAGTAGGTGGTCTGAGGCTTTGCAGATGTTCTCTGCAGAAAGAATCTGGAGAGAGAAGTTCTGAGGCTGCAGATGACAGTTGTTCCTCTGCATGTTTCAAGTATGGTTCAAGAAAGCAAAGTTTCACAAAACGCTGAAGATGCTGCCCATTTTTCATGGTAACCCCTGCAGCCAGACATCACTCTACACAATCTTCATCTTCTGTCAAAAGACACATTTAAATAAATAGCACCAGCTCAGTGTCTGGCACAAACAGGTATCCCTGCAAGAATTAAGTCCTTTAGTCAGTCGAGAAAACAAAAAAGGCCTATAAAGTAAGGCTGCCTGGGGAACAACTTCCTGCTGCCGCCATGCACCTGACCAGCACCACCGAGGCCTTCGGTGGAGACGGCCTCTGCTCAGGCCCAACACAGGCCAGCTCAGGCCACGCGGTGCCCTGCTCGTCCTCGGGGATTTCGAAGATGGCGCTTTTGAGCAGTAAACCTCGTCCTCCTCCAAGGTGGCTGGGAAGGCGCTCTGGTTCCCAGGCTTGGCTCCGAGCACGTCTGGAGCGGCAGCGCCCGCCGGGAGGGCTGCGGTGTTCCAGGAGGCGAGTGCCTGGGTGCCTTCCGGCCCAGCGCGCCTTCCCGGCTTTGGGAGCCCGGGCGGAACCCACGCCCCGAGCACCTGCGCTGGCGCTGGGGGGCGCGGGGGGACGGACCGCGGACCGGAAGTGGCGGACCGGGCAGGGCCTCGCTTCCTGTGCTGCGGCGCCGCCTCGGCGCTATGGCTGCGCTTGGCCGGCAGGTGAGGGCGCCACCGGGACCGGGCACTGGGTCGCGGAGCCGCGCCGGGCAGGCCTGGGGAGCGGGTGGCGAGTGCCTAGGCTCGCTGGCCGGCTCGTGGTGGGAGGGGTCTGGGGGACGAGTTTGGGGTTTCAGGCAGGTGATGCCCGGGGGCTTGGAGACAGCTGCCTCTCCCTCCCCGGCTCCCGCGGTTACCGCGCAGTCCCGCAGCCTGGCGGGCGCCGGCGTCCTCGACCCTCGGTGAGCCTGGGGCTCCGAGGTCGGTTCCCGCTTTGCAGGTGGCTTCTGTCTTACAGGTCCTCGGGGGGCGACGCCTAGTCCCACTCTCCTGGGCCTGCTGGGCCAGGCGGACTTCTCATCCCCCCGAACGGGGAAGGACTAAACATTCGACCGCTTCCCTTGGAGGGAGCCTGGAGGAGGCGTTCCGTGCGGGACCCAGAAACTCTGTGCAGCCACCGGGGTGCAGCACTAATCCTGTTCAGTGCCTCCCTGAGAAGCAGAGCACACCTGTGGAGAGTGGGTCGTTAGAGCCAGAAAAGGTCATCAGTTCCCTCCTGGACATGGGTTTCAGTGATGCCCAAGTCAAGGATTTGCTCAGCACATTGCCAGGTGCCAATCTTCAGCAGTTGCTGGACATCATTTCAGAATTGATACTCCTGGGTCTGAATCCCGAGCCTGTGTGTGTGGTCTTGAAGAAGAGTCCCCAGTTACTGAAACTGCCAGTGGTACAAATGAAGAAGCGCTCCGATTACCTGCGAAAGCTGGGCCTTGGGGAAGGTACAGGGTGCAGATTTTTGTGGTGTGAGAAGAGTCAGAGTTGGGGAAGGAGGAGCTTAAGGTGTGATGGCTTAGGAGAGGTTTCTGAGGGAGAGTTCAGTGTCCCAGGGGAGACTGTTTGCAGCCTTTGCAGAAGCCATTGCAGAAAGAATGTGGGGAGATTAGGAGGAGAAGTGAGAACCGCGGCCAGGGCAGGCCTTGTGTAGTGTGTTGATCTAGGATCTCTTGCTTCCAGGACAGTGTTGGCACATGGTCTGTGTTCAGTAGGTTACTCTTGCTGTGTGGTGCTGGTCTCTCTGTGAGTGTGCATATGTGGAGGCTCTGACATGCAAGCCCACGTGATGTGTTCTTTATGCTTTGTGTATTGTAGGGCTGAGGACACCATCGCTTATAAAGACCGAGAATCCAGGGGAACCTGAGAGATCCTTCAGGTTCCTGGGAAGCTGATAGAATGGCTTCTATAGCTGTCCCCCTCCTCCAGTGGTGTTTACACCTCAGAGATCCTTGAAGTTTTTTGGGTCACTTTAAGACCCTTCTGGAGAAAGAGGATGTTGTCTGCTTCAAGGACCCCAACCACTTTGACCAGAGATGTTCCATTATTATTTTTTTTTTCACTTCCTAGAAATTTTTTTTAATTGAAAAGGAATATTTTTGGGTCCATTATTTATTAGGGTCTATATGGAATTCTTTGTCCAGAAAATAAACAAGAAGGTAGTCTTGTATAATTCTCTTAAAGAGTAATATGAGATACTAGATTTAATATGGTATGTGCTATGGTTATTAATTAGCAACTCAGCATAGCTATAAGAAATGAAGATAACACCTAAACTCCCAAATCCATTTCTCACTTTTTAGTAAGACAGTGTTTGGGAAACTGAAATGTTTAAAGAAAGTGACTTTCAGTTTCTAGTTATTGAATTTTCCTGAGTGTTTCCTGTGAAGACCATATACCCTAGTTTGCCTGGGATAGTCCCAATTTAGACCATCTGCCTTTGTGTGTGGTCCTGGGGACTGAACCCAGGGTGCTTTACCACTGAGCCACATCCCCAGACCTTTTTATTTTTTTATTTTGAGATAGGGACTCTCTAAATTGCTGATGCTAGTGTGGAACTCACCGTTTTCCTGCTTCAGCTTCTTGAGTTGCTGGGATGAGAGGTGCTGCTGTGCCCCTCTGTACAAGTCATCTTAATGCAAGGCCTCTCAAGGCCTCTCTCACTCCCAGGTGACCTGGTTTGGATAGAACACATGGTCACCCTGTTAGGGCATTGTTGTTTGTGGTTGTGTATTGGGAACATCTTTCTTGTGTTCTCAACATCATCATTATTGTTATGGAAGCCTTTTCATTGAGGTCCGACTCCCAGGTCTTGAGAGTGCTGGTGGACAGTGCTTCAGTGATGGTTTTTATTAAACAGAGAAACCACAGTCTGTAGTCCCACCCTGAGGAAGCCAGTTTCCCATCTTGCTGTCTGATCTTCCTGGTGAAACCCTGTAAAATTCTTTTCTAGGTGAGGAGGGCAAGAGGAGACCTAGAACATGAAGCTAGCACCTTCAGATGGGAAGCCAGAAACAGGCGGGGAGGTGGGGTGGGCTGTGAGTCTAGAAGTCATTTCTGTGGTGAGCTGGAACAAGCACTCGTGCTCTGGGGAAGGACCTTCCTCCTTCTTCTCCTGCAGGCTTCGGTCAGGGCTGTTGGAGCTAGTCCTTGGTTCTGGCATACCGTGAAATTATGTGCTGTCCTTTTCTTCATGTTCTTCAGGGAAACTAAGGCGGATGCTCCACGGTTGCCCTGAGGTCTTCACCATGCGTCAGCAGGACATTGATGACATTGTCAAGTTGCTCAAGGAGAAGTGCCTTTTCACAGCTCAGCAGGTCACTGAGATTTTGCACAGATGCCCCGGTGTTCTTCAGGAGGACCCCAATGAATTGGAATACAAATTCCAGGTAAGCACAGCTGCAGCAGCCAGCAGGAAGGGCAAGGGTTTGGGTGTAGTGAGGTTGGTTCTGTGTGTAGGGAGCCTCTGAGTGGACAGGGGAAGGGCCTCTCCATGACATCCTTGGTCCCAGGAAACATGCTGCTGGTTCTATTATTCCTCCTTTCCAGATCAGACCAGCTCTATTTCTTCCATAATAATGACATTCTCTGAGTCCTAGGTGGGTATCCAAAACAGCTATGAAACAGCTGAAACTTTCCTTTCCTTAGAACATATTTTTGCAGTTGATTTTGAAAATGTAATTGTGATAATTGGCCTAATGTTTGAGTAAGTTATGACAACTTGGGTCGGATTCCTGGGTGCTTTCTGAGTCTTGCCTGCACTTTCCACACTCATGGTCCTCCACGCGTATAGCCTCCTCCTGGGTTTGTCAAGAATAGTGTTATTTCTTCCCCACTAATTTACTTTCTGCTGCGTTTTTCTCAGTATTAGATTTTGAAATCGCTTTGAAAACCATCAGTTTCCACACAAGGGTCAGTATAGTAGTGAGTTTCTGCTGTTATTAGTCAGGCCTTTCTTTCTCAGTGCTCTTAGAGTGTGGTTTAGAGTGTGTGGGGAGGAGCCCTCACTGTGTGTGTCTCCCAGTATGCATACTTCAGGATGGGAGTCAAGCACCTGGACATAGTGAGGACTGACTTCCTTCAGTACTCAGTAAACAAGATCAAGCAGAGACACAGCTACCTGGAGCGCCTAGGACGGTACCAAACCCCTGACAAGAAAGGGCAGACGCAAATCACTAACCCTTTGCTTAAGGACATTCTCAGAGTGTCAGAAAGTGAGTTTTTGGCCAAAACAGCCTGTTCTTCTGCTGAAGAGTTTGAGGTTTTTAAAAAGCTCTTGGCTCGGGAGGAGGAGGAGCAGGAAGAGGAAGAGGAGCCTGAGAGCAGCACATCTGAGGACAAAGAGGAGCAGCTGTGACGAAGGATGGGGAGCAGGGCCTGGGCCTGTCAGGGGACATGCACCTTTTCCAAGCCTTGGGAGCTTCACTTGGACTTTCTCAATGTTTTTCATTCTAACACAGGTCTTCTAATGAAAAAGTCATTCAGACCGCACAGGATGCCCTGGTGTGGTCTGTCACCAGGTTTTGTGGGAGGCACTGTTCTATCCTAATAAAAGGCAACTTTTAAAATGGGACTCAGTACTTGCAAATTTGATTTGATTTTTCCTGTCTTAAAATGTCAGTGCTAATACCATGAGGGAGTGGAGGAGGGCCTGCTGGCTGAAGAGTCCTTGTGTATGTCCTGTGGTGATAAAGGTAAAATCAAGGCCATAGTACATCATAGCACTTTATTTTATGAAAACAAGTAGCAAGTCTCCATAAAAATACTCCTGTTTTTAATCCAAAACATCTCATTGCTACTCAGTTGCATTCAGTGTATAGCAGAATGAAAGGCGCTGCTGGTGATGTGTTCTGGGATTGTGCATGGCTTCTGCAGGCCCGCAGAGCTCCAGCACTTGTCGCTGAAGACCCGTCCTTCCAGCTCAGTCATGTTGGCTTTCTGCCAGCTCCTGGTGGTCACTCCAGGCCTGATTCTCTGACCTGTTGCTCATGCTGCCTGCCAGAGTGATGGCCTGGAGAGTGCTGGCTTGGGAGGGGCTGGGGAGCAGGCTTAGACAGTCATACCCCACTGCGCGACCACAGGTTCTGAGGACCAGAGGAGAAGAGCGCAGGCCCAGGACTGCTCGTGGATTTGTTCCAGAGGGCTCCTCAAATGCCCAGGGTGTGGACATCACCCTGGGGAACAGGGGTGTGAGGAGCAGTGTGACATGCTGGAAATGGGGTGAGGCAAACTCTGAGGTAGAAGCCTGGCATTGATGGTGCGAGTGTTCAGAGGGCCCAGAGGACTAGGGCCTCCTAGAAGGTTCTCTGTTGCTTTTCCTAAGGGTACTGCGAGGACTGGTGCTACAGAAAGCACCTTGGGTCTGCTTGGTGGCATTTGATTAGTCACATGACACCCCTCTGATGCTTGGCCTCGTTCTTCTCATGTATGTGAGAATCCTTCAAGGCCACAGTGTTCACCTGGCGGTGACCTTGATCCTTAGGACAGCTGGAAGTCTTGGGAGACATACTGGTTGCCATGACCCTGGTGTAGGGTGCTGCTAGGATCTATGGACAGAGGCCAGGGATGCTGCAGAACACCCTGACATACAGGGAGCCCCACACTCGTGGTCAGCCCCAGGTGTCAGTGCCAAGGCTCAGAACCCTGCTGCAGCCTGGCTGAGCAGAGTGCAGCTAGCTGTCTGTGAGGACTGCAGGAGGTGAGTGACCAGGCTGTGTTCCTCCTTCAGAGTGGGGTCGTGGCAGGCCTAGGCTGGGTTGTGGGGGTCCAGTGCTGAGGTGTGGAGGAGCCCGTGCTCTCCACGCACCACGGGGTTGGACTGCAAAGAAAAGCAGTAGCTGCTAGTGGAGGAGGTCCTGCTAGGGAAGGTGCAGGGCCTGGTCAGCTGGCCCTGGCCTATGGGTCTCCACAGGGAGCACATGAGTGAAGGCAGTGGGTAGAGGGCTGTCTGTGGCTGTGGGTGGACGGGGAGTGCAGGTGCTCACTGCTCTTCACTTTGTGTTATCCAGTGACCATCACTTTTTTGGGCCCCATGAGAGCTGAGAAGAATCCTAAGCCTAGCATGATTAGATGGGCCGCTGATCCCCAGTGCTGGTGGCAGACGGTGGCCTGAGTGTGATTAGAGGGCCACTCATCCCAAGTGCTGGTGGCAGACGGTGGCCTGAGTGTGGTTAGAGGGCCACTCATCCCAAGTGCTGGTGGCAGACGGTGGCCTGAGTGTGGTTAGAGGGCCACTTATCCCAACTGCTGGTGGCAGACGGTGACCTTGGCATTTGGATTTCCTTGTTCTGGTCCCATGTGACCTTTGCTGAGATGGACTTGAAGTGTTTCTGAGGAAGATGTTAGTCTTAAGAAGGACATTTTAGAATAGCAGTGGCCACTCCCTGGGATGTCTGGGTGGACTGTAACCCAGACACAGTCTGGTAAATTCTTTTACCAGACACTCCACCTGTGTGGCCTCAATGTGGGTTGACAGCGTGACAGCACAGCATCCTGCTCTGTCTCTTGTTGAAACAAAGACTCTGAGCTAACACCCGGGTCCAGGTCATGGCTGGCTGGGGGCTAAGGGTCTTGGTCTTCAGGGTGGTGGAGAAAGTCTCATCTCCTATAGTGGGGTGACCTTGGTCCTACTATTTCCTAATGATCTGGGGTGTCATGTAGAGGGACAGTGATGGGCCTGGTGCTGCAGTGGAGGTCAGCCTGCATGTCTGTGGACTGGCTTCTGACTAACTGTGTCTGGGGCCATTTGTCCTTGGATGTTTGCAGGGCACAGTAGGGTTTTTCTTGAATCATTCTTCCTCCCTTCTGAAAACAGCAAACTTCATAGTGCACAGCTGTGCACACTTTTCAGTTAAATCTAAAATGCACCTCTTCAAAGAATGCTTTGATAGACCCCAGGAGGAAGGAGGCCTCTGCCATGATGTGACTGTGCTCCATTTCTGGTTGTGTCAGTGGCAGTCCTCCACTGAGAAAGGGGGCCTGACTGCTCCAGTTGTGCCCACACTGCAGGGAGAAGACAGCTGTGTGGGGCGGTGCTGGGCGCACACGTGCTCTATGATGTGTGGTAGGCTGTGTTTCTACCTGGAGGCCCCAGAGGTCTGCTCTGGTCATGAACTAAAAGGACCCCTGCATGTGGTCTCGCCCAGCCTGCCCAGAGCGTTCCTCTGTTACCTTCAGACTGGCGAGAAGACCTTGCTGCTTCAAGGTGGTGTGCCTTGGCTTTCTGAGGAGGGTTTTTTTTTTTTTTTCTGTGTAAGTCTTCTGTGGGTCTTTGGAGCCTTGGTGGTGACTTGTCACCCAGGGGATGGCTTCCACTACATGAGGCCAAAGCCTAGGTGACCTCACAGATCAGAGGTCCACCCTGTGACTATTCTTTTGAGTGGAGCTTCAGGGAAGCACAGCCACGCACATTCAGCTGCACATCCATGGCTATGCTGCAGGGGCAGAGCTGAGCAGTGGCCACAGAGCCTCTGATCTGCAAGCCAGAAGCATTCACTGCCCTGCACAAGGAGTCTGCCATCACGGTGCAGCCTGAAACTGTCCAAGCTCCATTTTAGTAGTATTGAACACTTCCACCTCCAAATGCATGGACCATGTACAGCATGAATGATGTGCAGCAGGTAGGAGGATTCACCTTGTCTCCACTTCCCCACTGCCCACGTCTGTGGTAGAAGTCTGTCCTCCTCCTGGTTCGGGAGACCTTTCTCACACTGGAATCTGAGGGCTGGTTTCTAAGCACTGCGGAAGTGATGTTAACGGCCCCGCTAGGCCAGCTGTGTGGAGGATAGACCATGCTCAGGGATGCCATACCCTGCGCTAGATCGTAGGTGCTTCAGTGACTCTTGGGGGCTGATGTGTGTACAGGCCTGGCCATCTGTTTTCTAGAGGCCTGAGGCCAGAGGTCACAAAGGGAACTGACCCATCCAGGGCCTTGTTTCTGTATGCTTTTCAATCCAGTTATTAGAGCTCATCTTCCTAGGTTTTGGAAAATCCTAAGGTGGGTGGAGTGCAGTGAGCTCGTCCCGAGTCCTTTGAAGGATCAACAGATCTAGACATGAGAAGAGCACCAGGCATGCCCTCCCTGCTGCCCTTTGAGCCCAAGCCTGGCCTGAGTGCAGGGAGGCAGGGCCTGGAGTGGGGGAGGACCTGTGCCCACCCTGGGAACCTGAGCGGGCACTGGGTTCTTAGACTGGCACCAGCAGGTGGCTGCCCCTCCACCCACCTCCACAGGGCACCGACCAGACTGCTCTGTGTTGAAGGAGTCTCCATGTGGTTCCTGGTGGCCTCTGAGTGGTGTGCTCCTGTTTCCTGCTTGTGTTTGCCCCAGCGTGTGGTAAGAACAGGTGTGCTCCACAGCTGGTGATCCATCATTAGCTGGGGGTTTCTCATTTGTTTCTATGGAAATGGGTTTGCTAGGTGAGCTTTTAAAAAGATGCATAATATTTCAGGAGACTTACTGCCATGCAGATATTTCCCACCCAGAAGGTGTATGTGGGCTCTTGACCTCACCAGGGTTGGACCGCCTGCAAGCCCTCCACTGTCTGTCTGTGTGTCCTTAGAGGCAGAGTCAGCAGGGGAGGTGGTGCCCAGAGTGGAAGGAGCCCAGCACTGTCGGCTGCTTTTGCAGAGAGAAGTCCCATTTGAGATGGGACCCTGCTGCTTTCGAGGTCTCCTGGGGGCCCGGGGGAGCTTGTCTTTCCCTCAATGTGTGAGCCAGCTGGAATGTTCCTTGGCTTTTTAGACGTTCTGTTTTCTCAGCCCAGAAGTCAGGACCTGAAAGGGCCCATGACCACAGAGCCGCCCTGTCCCCCAGTGCTAGGAAGGCAGGCTCTGTGGGCTCCTGGAGAGGTGGAGCTGAGAGCTTCATGGGGTCTCGTCGTGTGGCCCGGTGTCTCCACAGTGTTGTGAAGAGTGTCAGTGCTCCGTAAGAACCAGCAGAGTGGCGTGGAGGGAGACAGGGGTTGGGTGGGATTTGTTTGCCAAAAGAGTTTGGGTAATACTGGATTGAACAAAGGTAAAATTTCTCCCATCCCAGAGTTCACGATGCTTAGAATTCCAGTGTCTCATGTGACCATCCTGGTCGGAGACCGTCTTCAGGATTTGCCAAATGTTTCTTGACTAAGGCCTCCATTTTAGCTTCCAGTATAATACCATTCTGGGGTTTCCCCAGAATTCCTCAGCACCTCAGGCCCTCCCTCCATGCGGTCTCCTCCCTCCCGGTGCCGGGTGGTCTTCCAGCTTTCTGTGAGCCCCTGTGGCAGCTGCTCCATGTTCCCTTGAGAGAAGGTAGGATATGCCCTCAGCCCAGAGCCTCACTTCCTCCTGGAGATGAGTCTGGGTCTGCTGGGAGGCCTGAGTCAGGGCATCCTGAAGCCACCTGGCCTGAGGTTTAGCAGGGCCTAGGGAGTGGCCGCGCTCCCAGAGGCCCAGGGTAGGCGGGCTCCTCTCCCTCTTCCCAGCAGCTCTCAGGGCACAGGGGAATGGTACCTTTTGTTTCTTCAGTGTTTGACGGTTACTTTGTTTCCTGAAACAACTAAGAAAGGGCTTAATGAGAAGGAGACTTCTGTGCCCCTAGTCCTGCCTCACTCTGCCCTCTTGTTCATGTGTTCCCTGCCCCTGTCTGGAGGCCGTGGCTGTGGAAGGAGAGGACACAGCCTACCTGGGGAGGGCGTGGAGAGTGGGGGGGTGGGCAGGAGGAAGCAGGAGTGGCCTCGGGGTGAGGCCTCATACTCAGGCTGAGCAGCGCCGGGGCTTAGTCCTTGGCCAAGCCAGCAAAGGTGTGGGGCCACAGTGGGTCTTGAAGAATGAGACTGAGATTGGGGCTCTGATTTTGAAAGCATATAACGTTCTCAGGCACTTCTTTCAGTAAAACCCCAAAGAGTACTTGTGAGCACCTTGAACCCTTTGGGGACAGAACCTGGGTGTAAATGAGCAAAGGTTAAAAAGGTCTTTTCTGTTTCTGTTGTTGTGCACTTGGCCTGCCAGGAGTGCTCTATGCTTCTCCCCAGAGCGTCTCGCTCCTGCAGGAGCTGAGTGACACCCTCACTCACCATGCCCACTGTGCCTGTGTGTGTGCCCAAATCTCACCCACACACAGTCTCAGGTGCATGGCACCACCCCTGCCCATCACCCTGCGAGCCGTATGCAGGACAGAGGTTGGGCCCGGGTTACCTGTATGGGGCTTCTTGAGGCTGGTACTCTCACAGTGCTCTTTGAAGCAGACATCTTGGTGAACTTTGTAGACTCTTTTGTACCTGTTGTCACAAGAAAATTCTGTGAAACTGGACGCCGAAGAGTGTGCTGCCCACCTACTTGGGCTGTGGACCACCTGTGAGTGCAGAGGTGTTTGAGGGAAAGACCACTGTTTCCTGACTAGAGGTTGCCTGTGGGTGTGTTAAAGTGCCCAAGGCAGAAGCCATGTGATTTAAGATCAGCTGTACTGAACACAGTTGACATGTGAGGTATACCGTTTCAGAGTGCACTTCACAACTGCTGGCAAAGCCACGTGGCACCGGAAGTGAAATGAGTTCCAACACAATGACTGCGGGGGGCAGGCCCCTTGGCCCTGTCCCTGGGCTCTGACCCTCCTGCTCTGCTGTTTAGACTTTGGGGAGAAGGCCAAGCCACCTGGCTGCAGGCTGCAGAGGCAGCAGTGGAGGGCCAGAGACTTGGTTTCTGCCTCCTCTCCCATTATTAGCCAGGGCGCCTTGATCAGGCTTCTTTGACTCTGTCGTACCCATTTTGTGTTCTTGGGAGACTTATGCCACCTCTTGTCACAAGGAATCTGAAGATGATAGGAGGGGAAAGTGTTTAGTGTGAGAGCCCTTTAGAAGAGGCCTCAGGAGCTGCAGTGCTGGTGTAGGCAAAGCTGCAGCCCACACCAGTCTGTAGCCTTGGTAAGACTTCCACTCTGGCCTCCAGAGAGTGGCCAGCTATGGAAGGAACTCCCAGAGAGCTGGATCGATACAGGAAGTAACTGTCTTCAGGTATCAGGAAACAGCAAGCCTGGGAAGAGGGAGACAGGCACAGGGTCACCTGCATGTTGGCCGGCAGCTGGGCTAAGGCAGAGTTGCAGATAGGTTCAGGCTCAACTCAGGGTCACACTTTGTGTGGCCAGAGTACCCATGAAGCTGGGCAAGTCCACCTAGGAGCCGATCATCCTGAGAGCCAAAGCGGAGAAGGGTGAAACCATGCCAGGACAAAGCTGCTCCACAGCAAGCCTCAGGAAGACCAAATCATACCAGAAGTACCTTGCAGAGAAAATACTCTTGAAAAGAAATACAAAACGTGAGACAGTTTGGCACCTTTTTAATGTTCAGCATTCTATGAAAATTTATAAGACGTTCAAAGAATCATGTGAAGAATTAAAAAAAAAAATGACCCCTTTCCTGGAGAAAAAGAATTGAACAGAAAAAGACCAGAAACGGCCCTGAAGACAGATCTAAGTTTGTGCCATGTGTTTAGTGATCTAAAGGAAAAGCTTCTTGTGATGAAGAGAGTGGTGGTGGGCTAGAGCAGGAGCCGAGTGGAATTTCTAGAGTTGCACACAGCTGTGTGGGTGATGCAAAAGCAAAGCCGACGGCCCTGACTGCAGAGTGGCACGTCTGAACAATGGGAAGAATGTGGTGACAGCACCAGCCCAGCACTGTCCTAACAGGAGAGAAGTGAAGGGGCAGGAAGAGTGCACAGAGAAGAGGGTCCACCCATTCCAGATGTGACAGAAGTGAACACCCGAGATGCAAGAGCTTAACAGTTCCAGAGAGTGCACACCGAGAGCCACATCATCAGGTTGGCCAAAGACAGTCCCCGAGAGAGTGCGAAAGAGCCAGGGGGTAGGACACATTGCGTGGAGTGGGGCCCCGGTGAGAGGGGCCGTGTCTCTGCAGCTAAAGTGCTGGAGGAAAAATTGTATCAAACAGTAATACTGTATCTAACCACATTTCTTCAGAAAAAAAGGTGAAATAACTTTTTCAGACAAACAAGCAGAGAATTGGTCGCCAGCAGACCTGTGCTGTAAGAAGAGTCCCATTGTTTAGGCTGAGGGCGTGATGCACAGGACCGTGAGCTGGGCTGGTGGGTGTGCCCTGGCTGTAGAGGACTCACTCAGCATGTGGAAAACAGTGCTGAGAGCAGCTGGTGGTGTGTGTGAAGGAAGAAGCTGAGGGTGATTCAAAGGATGACAGTTGCAGGATCTCCCCTAAGCTGCCATCGGTGACAGACAGGAAAGGCAGGTCCTGGCTTGTTGAAGGTGCATATTGAAAACCTTGCAGCAACTCCTGAGTAACAATGAGCCAAAGAGGAGGGACCAGCAACCCTGAACAATTAATCCTGAACTAGGAGGGAAAGAAGAAAAAGTCATGCAGAACAGATGGGATAAATAGAAAAAAGCAGCCAACAGCCACATCGCCATTATCTAAGAATGATGTGAATGGTCTGAACAGTGATAGAAAGCAGAGATGTCACCCTGGATGTGAAGCAGGGCTGCCGTATGTTCAGAACAAGGTCACTTCAAAGGTACAGGCAGGTTCCCAATGAAAGGGCAGAAGGCCTTTGGGAATGAAGGCTTTCTTGTAGGCATGCTGGGGACATGACAAGGCTGCAGGCAATGTTGAGACCAGCCCAGTCCAGCAGCTGGGGCCTGCCCCCACAGAGTCCAGGTCAGTGGCATCACACAGCCTCTGTGCCCTGCAGCTTGGTACTGCCTCTGTTCTGTCCTCAGCCTGGTTTCACGTCCAGCTCCAACAAAGCTCTCTGCCCTGGCTGCCACCTCTCCTCCTCTGTGGAGCCTCCAGAGCAGTCTGTGAAGTGCTGTCACATGTCCCTCCTCTGCTGAGTGACCTTCAGTCACTCCTCACTTCATGGACAACCCACACCACCATCCTTATGGGGTGTCCTCGTGTCACTCCTCTGCTGTCCTCAGACATGCCAGGCATACGTGATGCAGGGCCAGAAAGGGATGCTCCTTCAGGAACCTTCTTCCTTCCCACTGCCTCCACCTCTGCTCAGTGTCATCTCACCCCTGAGGCCCACCTTAGTCACCTGTCTGATGTAGCATGGCCCTCACTTGGCTCCCCTAGGCTCACTTCCTCTCTCCCTTCCTTCCTTAGCACTCACCACCTTCTGTGACTGCATGGCACCAATGCCCATGTCCCTGGTGGGCTGTGCCTGCAGCACCCTGTCAGCCTGAATGCCCATGTCCCTGGTGGACTGTGCCTGCAGCACCCTGGCACACACAGTGCTGTCAGGGTGTGCCTAAATGACTGAGTACCACCTAGAGTCACAGGATTTAGGGGGAGGTCCCAAGAGATGAATGAGGCAACTGTCCCTCCACAGCCAGCTTTACAAATGAGGAAACGGAAACATGGGTGACTTGTCTGAGACCACATCATGAGTCAGTGGCAGTGCTGGACTAAAAGTTACCATGTGCCATTTGTTTTCCAGGGACTGTGATGAAGAGAGGGAGGTCAGGTCCTGGAATCCTTGGGCATAGGACCCTCTGTCCACTGGGGCCTAGGGGGTGTAGAGGAGAGCCAAGGGCTTGAGAGACAGGGACCAGCTCTTCTCAGCCACTGTTCCTGAGCCGCAGGGGCCTAGGCCCATTCCTCTGCCTCAAGCCCCTGGTTTGCTATGTGGTGGGCATGAGCCATCCAAGCAGTGTCTTCTGCAGCCTCCGTCCCTCGGGGTTAGTAAGACAGCACTCTGGAAAGTGAAGACCCTGTCAGCATCATCGGCAGCCAACTTACACGTGGTGGCAGACGGCTCCCTCCCAGACTGGAAAGGACTTTGTCTCCGAGAACAGTCGAGTGCAGGGGCGGGGCACCTTTTTACAGGCTGCCGGCACAAAGGAGAAGGGCAGAGGCTTAGGAGGAGGCTCCATGCCACAGGAACTCTCTTCCTGTCCTCGCGAGAGACCCCTGCCCGAGGGAGACCCAAGCAGCTTTTCTTAGACCCTGTTGGGCCTGGGGATCTGTGCCAGCTTCCCCCTGGGATAGTGACCTCCTCCCAGGGCTGCCCAGCATCTGCAGAGACTGCCCTGGTTGGGGTGACCTCGTAGTCTGCAGGCTAGTGTAGTCGTATAGGGGGTTCTGCCCCCAACCTGGACACTCAGTCCAAAGGAGCCTATGTCCCTCCCGTGGACTCTCTTGTCTCCTGCAGCCTCACCCCACTGTGGCACGGCTGCTGCTTATGGCTGCCGTTCTTGACTTTTCTCAGCCCCTGCAGCCAAGGGCCACCTTTCACCCTGGGACTCACAGATCATTCCTCGGTTTCCTTGCCTGTCAGCCTCTGTTCCTAGATGCTCTAGGCCTCTGTTCTGGCCCTTCAATTTGGAAGGCCTGGGACAAAGCCACCTGTGCCCAGCCTGCCAGGGCCTGGTGACAACTGCTGTAAGAGGCGCCTGGAGGCCAGTTCCCAGCTGGGTGGCCAGCCCTGACTTACCAAGCTCACAGCGCCTGCCTTTAAAGCCTGGCCCGCAGTCACAGTGGTGGGCATCCACACCTGGCACACAGGTGCCTCCATTCTGACAGGCACCTTCTGAGCAGCTCTCAGGGGCGCCTGGAAACAGAGACCAGGAGAGGTCAGACCCCAGTCCTAGGGAGCCTGCTGGCACCTGACTGGGTGCTCGACGGCAGCCGTGACAGGCTTTTCCCTCCTGCTGTGGCCTTCTGTGCCCTGCTGCTGTGGGCTCGTGACACAGACAGCAGAGAAGGGAACATGGGCCTCGGTGTGCTGGCCCTGACCTCATGACTCAGGGAGCAGGGAGGAGAGAGCCCACGGCCTCCTGGTGAGCCACCTGGCTTGCGGCCACCCCCAGGTTGTTCTGCTTTCACCCCTACACACGGCTGCTTCTGCCTGGAACTCAAGACCCTTTTGTCTCTGAGCGTCTGCCCCCAGTTGGCAGAGACTTCTCCACCACATCCCCAGCCCCAGACAGCCCTGTGTGCAGAACTGGCACCTGTGCCCTGTGAGTGCTGGCTGCCCACCTCCTAGCATGTCGCATCTTGCTATAGTGGAGGCCAAGGTGGTCAGCAGTGCTGCCTGGGAGGAGCTGGCCTGGCCTGGCCTCGCCTCCATCCCTGAATACACTCTGGCCCCATTTTTGTCATTATTTTTAAAGACACCTGTTATTTTATTTTAACTTAAAGCACAAAAGAGTAAGAATTGGCCTTCCCCCATGTCTGGTCCTGAAGGAGTCTCAGTCTCCATCGCACCATCTAATGGAGCCCCACCTGCCCGACACTTGCAGCATGTTCCTCAAAGGCTTCTCCAAGTTCCAATCCCATGGTTCATGGCCGTGGGAAGACCTTGCTGCCCCTGCAGGTCACTGCCCCCCTCCTCCATCCCCATTGGATCCACTTTGCCTTCTTCCCTCCCCCTGCTGTCTTCTGGGCCTTCCTTATGTTCTTCTTGATGTACTTAAAATGAACTTTCCAGACTGACCCCAGGCGCTCAGCTTGGGCCCCTCCGCTTCACACTCATCTGTTACCCTGAGTAACCGCAGGGCCGTTCTCATGTCCCCTTTCTCCTGTGGACAGCCAGCAGTGTCTGTATGTCGACTGCAGTGCTCTGCGTGAACAGTCACCAGGAACTCTCTAGTGTGGAAGACTGGGGCGGTGTCCACCTTAAAGTGCCACTTACAGCTGGGCTAACAGACGAGGGTTTGTGAGGGCCTGCCTGCTGCCTGTGCCTGATATGTCTCGGGTCTCCGTCTGCACCCCTGGTCTTCTACCTCTGTTAAAAGAAGCAAGGCCATTTCCCTCAAGTGCCCTCCTGGATCTGACCTACTGCTTTTAGTGGACCAACTTGTTCTTCACCCCACAAACCCTCTTCATCAGAGAAGGGCGCAAGGGGACTCAGGTTCCATGCCCTTGGCAGGACTGTTCCGCAGGGTGCTTGTCATCCTTGGACATGTAGGAGGCCAGCCAGGTGCCAAGGCCCACTTGAGTGGTGTGCGACAGATCACAGTTGGGCACTGGCAGCCTTCCCTGGAGACCCAGGTCCTCCTAAGCCAGGTAGCCCTGTCTGCACTGGCTGTGGCTCCTGCCTTTCCCAGCTTGCCAGGGGCCTGCAAGGATGTGCTTTCCTCACCGCCCTGAGGACTGAGACGAAGGTTCACACCTGCAAGAAGGGCCAGTGCTCAACCCTGTCTTCCCTCTGCTGCTTGTCTGTACGTCGACTGCAGTGCTCTGCATGACCAGTCACCAGGAACTCTCTAGCGTGGAAGACTGAGGCTGTGTCCATGCTGACTGGTGAGTCTTTCCTCCTGAGTGTTGGTGTACTCAGCTCTGGATGCCGCTGTTGCTTCGGGCTGGTGCTGTCACGTTTCTTGGTGCTCAAGCCATCCTGTCTTGGGTGGTGGGAACCCTTTCAGGCTGGCTCTTTAGCCCCTGGCAAGGTGCCTGTTGACTTTGGATGTGCGCTTGTTGCCTGACGGTTTGTGCCTGGTCACTTTTGTCCACATCCTGCTGCAGTCTTGGAATCAGCCATTTCTCCAGAGCCCCTTCCTCCAAAGAGATGGGTTTGGACCCACAGTCAGGTGTTCTGAGAGATCACCACTCCTGAGCTGCCTCTGTCTCAGGCTTTCCAGTGAATAGGACAAGTTTTAAAAAATAAACAAGTCGTGGATTTATTCTGGTATTTCCAGGGCCTCACACCTGCTAGGGAAGTGCTCTACCACTCAGCCCCAGCCCCAGCCCCCTGCCTTTTCTTTTTTATTGTTTAAAAATATTTTTCTTGGTTCAAAAGTCAAAACTATGCAACAAGGTCGATATATTCAGAGAAGATTAGACTCTCTCCATCCCTTTCCCTGCTCTTTCCTTCCATGAATAGCTCACCCTCTTTGTTAGTTTTCTTCCTAAACATAATAAAAACATGTATTCATATTCCCCTCTTGTTTCCCGTACGACAGCACACCAAACCCACTGCAGCCTATGGCTTTACAGCACCTTTAATGAGATGTCCACAGACCACGTGGGCCTCCATTTGACCTGTGCAGTGCCTTGTCACCATAGTCAGTCCCCTCCAGAAAGAAGGTGTGGCTTATAGCTCCCCCTGTCCACCTTGAGCCTCCACCCTGTCCTAAGCAGCCCCTGAGCGGCTTTGTGTCTTCACAGTCTCTCCTTCTGGACTTGGCTGCACGTAGGAGCCTTTGGCACGTGGTCTTTTGTAGCTGGCCCTCCACTCAGCGTGTCTCCAGACACACCCAGGTGGTGGTGTGTAGCAGCGTTGTCCTCTGATTGGAGTGGTGCCGTGGGGGCCTCCCTCCAGCAGCCGTCAGGCATGGGTGTTTCTGCCTGTGGTGGTGGTGCTGCTGCTGCTGCTGTGTCCATCCACGTGTGAGCCTCGTGTGCGTGCAGTGTCCATTTCTCCTGGGGGCAGGTGTCAGTGGGCTTGCTGGCCGTATGGTCCCTCTGGTTGACTCCTCTGAGGAGCCACAGCACTGGCCTCCTGGCAGTGGTCAGCCGGTGCCATGTCCACACCCTTGCCAGTGCTTGCTGTCCTGGGGCCAGCTGTCCTCTGGTGAGGGACATGAGGTGTCTTTTCCTGTGCTTACTGGTGATTTATGTGCATTCCTTGGAGAAGTGTTCATTTTCTTTGCTCATTTTTAAACTGGGTTCTTGATGTATTTTAGATACACGTCCCTTGTTTACCCATTCTGTGGCTGTCTTCCACTTTCTTGGTGGTGATCTTTGAAGCACAAAAGTCTTGGATTTTTGATGAAGTCCTATTTTCCTTTTGTTGTTATATGTTTGGTGTTTTATCTAAGAATCCTCTGTCAGAACTAAGGTGAAGATTTATTCCTGTTTTCCTCTAAGAGTTTTGCTTTTTTCCTTTTTATTGGTTCTTTTTAGTTATACATAACATTAGGGTTCATTTTGACATAATTATTAAAGTATGGAATATAATTTGCTCTAATCAGTCCCCAGCACCATCACCCCCACCCACTCTACCAAGAGTTTCGATTTCAACTCTAACACATGGCTCCATCCTGTGTGACTTAGGGCCTTAGGTCATCGGTGTGAGGTGAGGGTCTGCTTCACCTCCACGTGTGGACGTCCAGTTACCTGAGCATGGACCTAAGTGCTCACCATGAAGCAGGACCACATTGACTTGATTCTGCGGCTTCATAGTCAGCTTTGACATTAGAAATGGAGTCCTTCTACTTTCTGAATCTTTCAGCTCCATCTTCCTTCATTCCTTTCCTCCCTTCCTCCTTCCTTCTCTCCCTCCCTCCCTCCCTCCCTCCCTCCTTCCCTTGCAATTCCATTTGAATTTTAGACACTATACACAATTGTCTAGAGAGATTTTACAGCAGCCCTACAGAATATGGCAGTGTGTAGGGTATTAAGAATCTACAAGCTTGTGTCATTGTGTTAGTCAAGTTTTCATTGCTGAGACCAAGATACCTGATAAAAACAACTTAGAGGAGGTAAGGTTTATTTTGGCTCATGGTTTCAGAAGGTGGGTCCATGGTTGGTCAGCTCTGTGCTCTGGCCTGAGATGAGGCAGCTTTAATGAGATGTCCACAGACCACGTGGGCCCCCATTTGACAGAAGGGCATGTTGGAGAAGAGCTGCTGAGCTTATGGCAGAGCCAGGGAACACAGAGGGAGAGGAGCCAGGGACATACATGACCTGGTTCCTGAGATCACAGCCCCAGTGACCTCTTTCCAGCCACGCCCATTCTGCCTGTAGTTAACATCCAGTAGTCCATTCTCATTATTAACCCATCAAAAGAGTAGTCCACTGACGAGTTTATAGTGCTCCTGATCTGATCATCTCGCCTCTAAACATTCCTGCATTGTCTAGAATGAGCTTTGGGGAGGACACCTAATGTCCAGTTCACACAGTCATCATTTGTAGCCCTCGGGAATGGGACAGTGTGACTACAGAGACCAGGCTTGAACTTATTCCTCTGTGGACTTGTGTGGCCACAAGAAGGCAGGAGGGTGCAGAGCTGACCCTGCATCCTGTTCCCTGTGGCCATCTCCAGTACATCCCAAATTTACTGTCACACCCTCATACACAAACAGGGAGAAGGCTGCTTTGAACTGGGTAGGGAACAGGGTGTGGATGTACCCTGGGGGCTGGGCACTGAGCTGCTCCCAGGCAGGACGAATGACCAAGCAGTGCAGTTCAGTCCCTGCCCTTGCCTAGTTTCACCTAGGGACAGTGTCCCTTGCCTGGTGTCACCTAGGGGCAGTGCCTGCCTGTCCTTCTGGTGGCATCTATTCAGACCATTGGGATAGTGTCCATGGTGATAAAGTCAGAACAGACCAGAAGCCCCCGAGTGGAGTTGGGGCGAATGGGGTGGAGGGGATCATTTGACCGGTCTTAGCACTCTTTGACTCCTGCACCTGCAAACCCTCAGGGTCACTGACTCTGGTCTTGGGAACCCAGCTCCTCTCAATGAGGTCCCCTCTCAGGCTGGAAGGTGCACCGGGACAGGATGGTTGCTTGGCGAGGGCAAGCTCATTAGGAATATTAACTGTGCTTTGTGGGTGGGGGCTCTCTGGGGTCCTCCTTTTCTTGAGAAATCAGTCTAACAGCTTTGAGAGAGAAGGAGCAAATTGCTTTGCAAAGAAACAGGAGCATGATGGATACCAGAGGTAACAGAACTGGGCCCGGGGTGGCAGTGGAGAAGGAACCCTGACGTGGGACTCCACTTCCACCACACTGCACTGCATGTGTGGGGGCTCATGAGAGTAACCTCGGGTACACAGGGTCTCCGGAGTCCCCACAAGTGCTTTGTAGAACTTGATCAGCTGACGTGTAAAGGGTCAGGGATAGCTGAGACTTTCTCCAGGGTCAAGGTGGGAAGACTGGCCGAGTCTAGCAAGTCAGATGTCAGGTTCCAATATTAAATAGGGTGGACTGGCTCAGAGAGTGCCAGTGGATCAGAGGAGCCAGGGCAGCATGGACTCGTGTGCATGAACCCTTGATTGGCAGCATGGGAAGGACAGTCAAGAAAGGACCCTGGAAGGACAGATGTCCATAAAAAGAGCTATTTATACTGTTTTTATTTATTTTTTTTGAGGGGGGGCCAGTTCTGGAGATTTAACCCAGAGGCACTTTACCACTGAGCTATATCCCCAGCCATTTGTTTTGTTTTTTGGTTTCTTTTAAAATTTGGGACAGGGTCTTACTAAGTTGCTGAGGCTGGCTTTGAACTTGTGATTCTTCTGCCTTAGCCTCCTGAGCTGCAGCAGTTACAGGTGTGTGCCACTACGCTCAGCCTGATTTGTGCTTGACAGTAGGACAATCAAGTGAGTTATAGGTCTGAGTTTAAAAGGCAGACAATTAAGCTTTAAGTGATATGATTGTATATATAGAAAACCCCAAGAATCTATGATAAGAATCAGAGCATTTGGCAGGATGGTTGGGTGGGAGGTCACAATGTAAAGGCCAAATAAATATCTATACTCCAAGAATAAATAATTGGGAAATGCAATTTGAAAACTACTATTTATAGTAATTTGAAACTGTGTAATACCTAGACACACATCTGTATTCTGTATAAGACTTCCTGACCCAGCAAGACCAGTGCTGGGGACTGGCAGTCCCTGCCTGAGTGCCCACGGGCAGCCGTCACTGCTAGGAGACAGCTTGATGTCCTCACACACCAAGATCCAGCGTGTCTACTCTTTGGCATGTGGAGAAGGAACCCTGATGTGGGACTCCTGGGAAACCTGGTCAGGAGCATCCACAGCACCTCTGGCAATGCCAGTCACTCACAAGCCGCAGGACTGGGCGCAGGGAGTGGTGGGGAGACCCGGGAGCCCGCTCCATGCCGCCATGCTCCGCAGCATGTGAGGACACTGCACCGCCCATTAGGGTCTAGCCAGCCCTATCCAAAGCCCAGAGAAGGCTCTTGTCTTTGCAAAGAAACCCCATCAGGACACACCGGGAATGATAAAGGGGCCACAGGAGAGTGCAGGGAAGCCCAGGGATGGTGACCAGTCCTGCACAGCTGAGCTCCTGCACCTCAGCAGGACAAGCATTGCACATGGCAGTGGCCTGGGGGCAGCCCTGTGGGGGCAGCCAGATGAGCCAGCTTGTGCTCTTCTCATTTCTGGGTTTTACTGAATGGAACATCTGGTACTTAAAGGGCTGACATACACAAACCCTGTGATGGAAAGTTTGCTTTACTCCATCAAAAACAGTGTCCCTCGCTGCTGGCCACTGACACACAAGCCCGCCCTCCTGGTGCTCACAGCCCAGGAGTCTGTCAGACCTCATGTGGTGAGGAGACAGTGCTGGGCTAGATGTAGGCTTGGAAGGCACCCTCTGTGCTGCAGCTGCCCTGAACAGGTGTGCCCAGGGGCAGGGCCTGGATGTGAGACCACCCACAGAGGCCACATTTTTATCAAGGACCTGCTTCTCTGGGGTGGGGTTGATGGGTGAGCCTAAGCTGAGTCCATAGTGTGACTAGGAGAGAAAGGACTGTCCTAGAGGGCAGAAGTCGGGGAGCAGAGTGGTAGTCAGTGTAAGGAACTGGCATCTGTCCTGTCCCTGCCCTGTGTGGTGTTTGGCCGTGGCTTTCACCAGGCACAGTGGCAGGCCAGGCGCTGTGTGGCCCGCATGTTGCCCAGGCTGGCGAGGCACCCCACCGGCGAGGCACCCCACCAGCGAGGCTCGGTGTGACTCCCTCCGCCCTTCTCACTCTGCTGACTGGGCTTCCCCTGTGGAGGAGCAAGGCAGTGGTGCCTGGGGAGGGGAAGGCCAGCTGCTGGAGGCAGGGCCAGCCCTTCTAGCACAGGCCCTGGTCTCCTCGCTGTCTGTGGCAGGATGAGTCACCACTCCAGGTGGTGTAGTGTGCCCTGCCCTGCCCTGTCCAGGCTGGGGTGCTTGGCTGTCCCTTAGGCAGGCCCTGTGGACCCCTCACTGGGGGCCCAGCAGCAGTCAGCTCTAGGTCCCCTCCACCACTGTCGACTTACTTTCAGCATCCTTGTCGCTGTCTTTGGGGAGCTGGAGGACCACGTGGGTCTGCTGGGGGGCCTCTTCTGTGTTCCCGAGTGGCACTGGGGTTGTGGGTTCTAGGAGAAGCCAGGCGACCACATGGCACCCTGCTTCACTCGCAGGTTCCCAGAGGGCTGCTTTCTGAGCCGCTTCCCATCCACCCCTGGCTCCCCCAGCTCTGGCACCAGCCCTGCGGCCCCAGAGCTGCATCCCAATGGGCTCAGGCCCCACTCTCCTTCTGCCCCTCAGCAGGGCCCAGCTCCTACTTCCCAGGCCCCATCAGGCTGCTCTGGGGAAGGCCAGTGACTGCTCCCCCAGGAGCCTCACCCTCCTCACGGCTGGCACTATGGCACTGTGCCTCCCAGTGTCAGACTCTGCCTGCTCCTTCCCCTCCCCTGCTTCTGTGTCTGCCCTGCTCTGCCGTCTGTGCTCTGGGCCCACAGTGGGATGTCCCCTCCGTACAGTGTTCTCGCTGTGCCCCTGAGCATTTTACATTTGTCCCCGTGGCTAGAGTCCCATAAGCTCTGCCTCTATACCCCAGACCTCCCCTGCCCACCACCTGGATCCTGTGGTTAGCCCGACCTGCCTGTCCCCACAGGCCCTTGGCCCGGCCTCTCCCTCACCTGGCTCACCACATGCAGTGGCCCCTCTGCTGCCCCTCTGCTTTTGGGCCCCCGTGCCCTGCCCTCCTCTCCCTCTCCTTGGAGATTCCCACTGAACCAGTGATGAGGCTGTCTGCTGGAGAGTCCCATGGGGATTCTTCTACTCAGCAGGTCCTGCAGCATCTCAGGGAGCTCTGAGTTAGTCACACGGGAAGCCTGCCTCAGGCAGGTTCCTAGACCCCTTCACCTGTGGGCTAAAGGCAAGAGCACAGGGCGTCTAGGCTCAGACGCCTCTTTGCTGCTGGGCCAACCTTCCAAGGGACGGTCTGTAGGGGTGCCCAGTCCTGTGGTGCTGGGCGAGGCGGAGGCTCGTCAGGCCTGAGCAGGAGCCCAGAGGCCCAGGTAGCTGCATACTCCTGGGACAGGGACATGTTTCCCTTGTTTCAGGATAGTGTGGCCAGAAGTTCTGGGCAGGGTCCATCCTTCTGGAAGCTCCCGGGCAAGGCTGCTGGTCCAGGGACCACGTTTTGAGTAGCAAAGAACGAGAGCACCCAGCCTCCTTAGCAGAACTTGCAGGCCACACTTGACAAGCAGAGCTCCCAGTGTCCTAGACCTATGGCTGACGTCTTCTCCGGCACGTCAGCAACCTGCACCTCCAGCCCACAGGCTGACCACGTGGAGACCCCACCAGCCCAACCCTCCATGGTGTTCAGTGTGTGCTGACCCCAGGGCCCAGAGCCTTGCTCATGGCTGGGGCTGAGGCCCTGGCTGGAGACAGGGTTGGGTACTGGGGGTCTTTAGGACCAGGCCTTGCCACTGTCACTGTGGGACAAGGAGTGGGTGAGAGTGGCCGGGTGGCCACTCGAGCTGCCCCTGAGCTGGTGCTGGGAAGCGTAGCACTCACGTGGTCTCTCGGTGGCTGAGGTGCTGGGCAGGACCCCGAACCTGGCACTTACTCTTCTTCTTCCGTCCACAAGCTCCGAGAAGCTGCAGAGGGTGGGAGGGTCACAGGGCTGCAGTGTCCCTTGGGCACCCTGGGGTGGTGACTGGGACAGGTACCTCGGGGGCGGGGTTGGTGTTCCGGGGGCGCCGTGGGTGTGGAGCAGACGCAGCTCTGGCAGGTGCACCGGGGGCGGTCTGTTTCTGAGCACCCGTGGGTGATGTCCTCCCTGGTGCCAGCGTCTGTCAGTGCCATCTCTGGGGGCTGCAGAGCAGGAGGGAGGAAGGGGAGTGGCCACGCTGCCCCCTGCATCTGACCCTGCTGCCGACGGGGCAGCTCACACTGCCAAGCTTGGGGAAGGGGCAAGAGGCATGTGTGGGCCTGAGAAGGCCCTTGCCCACAGCCTCTGAGGAGGACCGCATGTTGACATGTGACATGCGGGGCTCCGGAAGTGGACTCCGGCTGCCTTCCTGACCCACCTCCTCAGGCCCAGGTACCTCCAGGCCGCCAGGGCCTCTGTCTGCCACAGGGCTGTGACGTGGTCCCAGTGCACAGCTGGCCTGCCCTTCCTACCTGGCAGCTGTGCCCAGAGCCAGACAGGGTGGCAGGGCTGGGTGTGAAACCTCACAGCCTGTGCTGTGTTTGCAAAGCATCTCCTGGGCCCGGGAGGCGGAGGGAGGGTCTAAGAAAAGCTGGGGTCTGCAACCCTCTCTCCCTGTTCCCCTGATGTCTCACCTTGCACCTGCACTCCCCAGAAACCCATCTTCCCACAACAGCACCAGACAAGTGGGGCCCATGGCCCCTGGCAGGACCCTCCGCACCAGGAACAAACCCGGTCCTTGGCCTGGTGCCTGAGCCTCCACACCCCAGCAGCTCTGCCGCCTCCTCAGGGCGCTTCCTGCTGCTCTCTCCCACGCTGTGTCCAGAATGACTGTGGGCTAGGCCTGGGTGGCCCCTGTGGTGCAGCTGACTCCCTCTCCTTCCTGCTCAGCCAGGAGCTGTGCGAGATGGGGTTCCTACACTTGTTGTCACTGTCCTCAAAGTCCTGAGGTAGGACAAGCCTCCAATCACGCAGACTCCTCTGTGTCAGACTGGACCTGTTTCTAGGTGGTCCAGACCAGTGAGGGGCCTGGGGACTGATGACCACCCACATTTCCTGGACAAGGACTGTGTCCACGGGGCTGACCACACACCCTCTGGCCCTGGCCGCACACTCACACGTGATGATGTAGAGGTGTGCGGGCTCGCTATGCAGCTGGCCCTGCTCGCTGCTCTGCACGGCCGTCACCGAGAGCTGGTACCGCCGCCCTGGCAGCAGATCCCGAACGGTGTAGGACACCAGCTTCCCGTTGGGGACGTAGCGGCTCTTGGTGCTCTGGCCTGTGGTCACGTTGATGACATATGCCTCCAGCAACGTGCCTGGAGTGGGCGTGTCCCAGAGTACATGGGCAGAGGTGGCTGTGACTCGGGAAGCGGTGAGGTTTGCTGGAGGCAGGGGACCTGGACAAGGCAGGGGCAGCAGAAGGAGGTGGTGGGCAGGGTGGGGGGGCTCTGACAAGGACGCCATGTGGGGTCTGAGAGGGTCACGGAAGCCTTACCTGAAGCCAGGCCTGTGCCTAGGGACAAAGGTGTAGCTCTGAGATGGCGTCAGAGCCCACCGCTGCCACCAGGCACAGGCAGCGCACCCGCCACCCTCTGGGGTCCCAGTGCCAGAGCCACCACTAGGTGGGCCATGGACAGTGGACCAGCAGCTCAGGGCCCGGGGAGGCAGAGTCGTCCCTGCTGGGCCAGGCCTTCACAGACTCACCACCCTGCCCACCTGCCCTCCCCATGTAGTGGCTGTTGTGCTCTCCACACTTGGGGCTGGACTTGGGGGCCAGTGACACCAGGGAGCTTAGAGTGGGCTGGTCACGTGGTCCAGGAGCCCTGGACTGTGTGTGCATCCTTGTACTCTCTGGTCAGTGTTCAGTGGGAAACTGCCTGGAGGGGCTGCCAGGTGCTGAGGGCAACATTGGACATGTCCCCAGCAGAGGACCCAGAGCCGCCTGGTGCAGGGACCCTCCTGATGGTCTAAGTGGAGAGGCCTCAGCGAGTCCAGGTCTGAGCTCTCGGTGCCGTGCACACTCTGGAGAGGGCTGAGGAGGCTGGCCGGAAGCAGTCCTCTCCAAGGTGCCTGTGGGGCAGAGGCCACCCTGGCCTACTTACGTGTCCACACATGCAGTGGCCCTGAGGCCAGACTCTCTGTAGGCTGCTCTGCTCCCCCAGGCCCACTGAGGGTGGCCACCCACACGGTGTATCTCCTTCCTGGCAGCAGGGCCCTGCCGGGGGGAGGAGGACAGGGACATGTGAGGGCCTGTGGCCAGCTCTGATAACCAAGGGTGGGGCCTACTGCGGCTGGCAGTCCTAGGTGCTCCTCTGGTGGGAAGCCCTCCACTGTCTGGTCTAGTGAGGGACTGAGCAGGGTCCTGTGCTGAGAGCAGCCACACTGTGGTCAGAGAGCTGATGTTCCCCGTGTCCCTTCTCTGAGTGGGTCCTAGCTCCCAGTGCTACTCTGTGCTCAGTCCCCCTGGTGAACCTGGCTAGGGGCAGTCCTAGGACAGTCAGCAAGTGCCCACCTGGGCCCTGCTTGTGTTTCTTCCATAAGCCACATGGGGTTATTCTTTGGAAGAAGCTGGGGTGTGAATCAAGAGAAATCACAGCAGAATTTAAACAGTGAACAGGAGAGGGATCTGGGCAGATGTGGGGCAGGAAGCCCTGGGAGGCTGCCTTGCTTTCCTGTCACTCTGGACTTTGACGAGGGCCTGCAGCTCCTGAGGAGGTGGGGTTAGAGCCTGTGGTGGCTCTCCGTCAGTCTCAGCGCTCAGCAGAGCAGCCCTGCCCTCCCACCTCGCCTTGTGCTCCTGGGTCACCCTGCACACAGCCCACAGGAGCCAGGAGGCAGAAGATCCTCTCCCCAATAGTAGGGACCACGATGCTGCTTCTGCTCAGAGGTGGGACACAGAGACAGCGCTGTGTGATTTGAAGGCCAGTGCCCTCCTGCTTCCTTGTCCTTTTCCTCAAGGATATTCGAAAGCAACTGCTGGTGGCAGGAAATGGGAAGGTAACTCCTCAGAGACTGTCCTGGCAGCAAAGCCAAACAAAACAAGAGACCGGAGTCTCAGCCAGATGAAAAGAGCAGGGCCCTGATAGTGGCGCAGGCCTGCCACCCAAGCCACTCTGAGGCTGAGGCAGGAAGACTGCAAGTCCAGGCCAGACCTGCAACTCAGCAGACCCTGTCTCCAGATAAAAAACAAAAAGGGGATGTGCCCCTGGGTTCCATCCCAGCAGTGGGGAAAAACAGGGGACATCAGCTCCAGGGGTGCCATGTCATTTGATTCAAATTCAGTTTCAACAACAATCACCACCAAATCAGAGTATATCAAGAAACACGGCACATTCAAAGGAAAACAGAAACTCCCTGAAAAAGATGGCTACCTCTACTAGAGGAGGACTCTGAAGGGACAGCCCTGGAGCAGCTGAGAGAAGTAAGGGGGTGTGGAGCGAGGAAGGGAGCCCTGTGACCAGAGGGCAGAGCAGGGGCTCCGCAGAGACCAGCGGCCTGGGGAGAGCAGGAGGCTGGTCTGAGCCCCAGGACTGTCTGCTGGCTTGGGAAGGAGCACACACTGGGGAAGGGTCTTGGCACATAAGTGCAGGTGATTCCAAGGTACCCGGGTAGGGCACCCAGGAGTGGGGCTGCTGGAGGCCACCTGGCCTGGCCATGGTCCCCAAGCTTGCCCTGCAGTGCTCACCTTCTGCATGGCCCCTCTGAGCCCCCTGAGCTGGGCACTGCTGAGAGGCCTCCAGCTGCTCCCTAGGAAAGCCCTTCACCCTGTGGACACAGGAGCCACAGGAAGCTGCCAGCCAGGTGCCCCTCCAGTTTCTCTGCCTCCCCAAGCACTGCCGGAGCAGGGGTCCAGAACTTGGCCTCTGGCAGGTGGACCCTGGGACCCTGGAAGGAACCTGGCTGCCCACCCCCCATGACTGGTTTCCGGCAGCCAAGGTGCTGCCCCAGGACCCTGAAGCTCTCTGGGCACTTTGCCGTTAGGCCTCCTGAGATGTCCTTGTGAGGAAGCAAGGCAGGGCCCGTCCCAGAACCCAGCCTGGCTTTCCCGGGCCCCAGCCCGGCTTTCCCGGGCCCCAGCCTGGCTTTCCCGGGCCCCAGCCCTTCCCAGGCAAGGGACAAGCAGGTGCAGAGACACAGAACAGCGGAGACCTCGTGTCCCCCAGGAGCCACCTCTTACCCAAATGTGAGTCGGTCCACGCTCTTGTCCACCTCGGTGGATTGGGCCTCGGTGGCCTCAGGGTGGAGAATGGACACTCGAATTCCACTGACGGTGGCATGATGGATCCTGTGCAGAGCCCACCTCACTGAGATGGCATCAGCTGACACGTTGGTGACCTCTATGTCCTCAATGGGGCGGGGGCCTAGGGGCAACAGCTGCTGGTTCAGCAGACACCAGCACATTCATGCTTCTGGGGAAGCAGGGCTTGAGACAAGGCTGAGAGGGTGCTGGGGCCACAGAGAGGCCACTGGTGAGAACCGTCCCCTCAGCAGCCCAGCAGGGACTTTGGATAGGGGAGGTGCCCAGCTTCCTCACCTCCAGGGTGGCCACTGCAGAGGGCCCACTGTGGGCACCTTGAGCCAGCCAGGCCCTTAGAGGCAGGCTGAGTCGCCTCCCTCTTTAGATGTGACAGTGACGTGCAGAGGATGGGGTGAGGGTGGGGGTCCTTCCTGACCCCAGTGGACCAGGGCACCCTCTCTTTCCTTTGTGCCGTTTTGGTCTAGCAGTTAACGTCTGGGCAGTGCTGGGCCCAGGGGATGTAGGCTGCAGAGTCTGCAGTGACCACAGGGAGGGAAGCTCAGGAGCTCAGCTCCTCACCTTCTGTGTCCTCAGAAGCTTGAGAGCTGCTGCTGAGAGGCCAGGAGAGACTTGCGGGCTCCTGGCACAGTGCCCAGCCTGGTGGATGTGGCGTGCACAGTGGCCCTTCCCACAGGACCCTGGTCTCCTGACGGAGACCCCACTGCAGTGGGGGCAGGGGAGAGACGCAGTCTCTTCCAGATGCCTTTGGAGGGCAGACTCCATCTTGGGAAGCCGCCCACGCGCATCTTTCTGAAACTGTGCTCAAGACGAGCTCACCCACCACCAGCCCTCTGATGGCCCTGCTGGCCTCCTGCTCAGGACCACCCAAGTGTGCATTGCAGGGCTCCTCCTCTGAATAGACTGTACTGTGTCCTCAGTGTGTGGGGACCTCTGGCCTTGGTTGCCACCTTCTGCACAATAGGTCCTATGGGCCCCCTGCAGTGGGCACAGTGTCCTGAGGACCTTGGGCTGTCCCTTGTTTGCCAGAGTCCAGCGTGGCTGAGCTGTGCCTCCTGGTGTGAGCCTCTGAGCTCCTGCCACTTTGCTTCCCACCTCACCCATCACAGTCCACGAGACAGGTCCCTGGCTCTCACTGCCTGCTGGGCCAGCGGCAGGAACTCCAGCAGGTGCTCGGTTGCATGCTGGACCAACCACCCTCACCCCTCCTGGTCCAAGCTCCTAGCCCTTCCCTCCTTCCTTAAGACTCCAGCACCCCTTCCCCATTTTCTGCTCCTGCCTCTCAAGTACACAGGTGTGGCCTGCACAGCCAGTGCCCACATCAGCTACGGCCCCATCTGGACACAAACCTCCTGCTGAAGCTGATGCTGGTCACCTGGTAGAGGGCCAGCCCTCGGCCTTGTAGCAGATCCCACTCCTCAGCCACCCATGGGCTTGTTACAGGGACTCCTCTTCCTCTCTGAATGGTCTCCAGCAGCAGACAAGGGAGCTGAACCTCGACACCCACTGTCACACTCCCCTGATAGCCACACCCTCCTTGTGGACACTGTCTGACACCCTTTCTTGACAGCTCCGGAAGGCTCCCTCTTCCACCCTCAGTGGCCTGCAGCCTCCCTCCCCTCTTTCAAGTGTTGTTGGTCCATCACTGCCACCACTCAAGCTCCTGCCTCCCGGGCTCTGGAACTTCCCTTGTCTGGCTCCCCAGACTCTCGTGTCCCCCTCCGCCCGCCCACAAGCCGAGAGCCCATTTCTACAGCTTCGTCCACTGGTCACAGCCATCAGTGCCCTGAGCTGACACCACCAGAAGAAGGGGCCACACGGCTCCCCGGCGTGTCCTAGCAGAGATACTCCTCATTCCCACAGGACAGAACCCCTCCCCTTGGCCATGTCCCCTACCCAGACCCTCCCAAGCCTTCAGCTTTCACTTTGGAAACCCGCGCAGGGCTACTGCCCTCAGTACCCGTCTGCCCCCTGCCCTCAGTCTGGGGGCCTGTTCTTTCCTGCATTTGCCTTGGTCTCTGCCTTTGACGCCTGCTCCTGTGGGAAGCTCGGCCCCTGCCTGCTGACTCCCTGTGTAGGGCGGAGGCGTGCCTGACGGGCACTCACGTGTGCGGGTGAGCAGGGCTGCAGGCCTGCTGATGTCGTTCTTGTTGTTGGTGTTGCGCTTGACGGAGAAGACGGAGATGTTGTAGGCCCGGCCTGCCGCCAGAGCCCTCAGCTGGTGGGAGGAGCGGCTCCTGTCCACAAAGTCCGTGCGGCGGTAGGAGCCGTCGGAGGAGACGTAAGTGACCGCATAGCCATCGAGCACCTGCCTGGTGGCAGGGCCCTCGGGTGGGCTCCAGGAGATGGAGACCCCACTCTCCTCCACTCTCTCCACCCTGAGGGCTGTTGGTGGAAGGAGCTCTTCAGGGTTTGGGCCAAAACACAAAAGAAGGGAGTGGTCAGCTGCTGCAGGAACCCTTGTCCCTGTCAGGCACCCCTCTTCGGACCCTGGGCCGGGACAGCAAGGTGTTGTGGCAGGGAGCCTCACCCTTGGCCCTCCCCCTGCAGTCCTTGGCTCCTGCCTGCACTGGCCTCCTGGAGGGTCACACCCCTCTCCCTGCTTCTCAGGAGAGGAGCCTGGGTAAGCAGTGGCCCGTTCTGCCCTGGGGGCCTCTAGGTCCCCTGCCTGCCCCCTGGTGAAGGAGATGGCCGCCCCACCCCCAGCTCCCTGTCTCTCCCTCTGAACCCCTAACTGCTCACCTTTGGCACAGTCCTTGCCTGTGAAACCCACTTTGCAGGTGCAGCTGTGGGACCCATTGATGGCCAAGCAGTAGCCGCGGCCCCCACAGGGGCTAGAGAAGCAGGGGTCACTCACTGAGGTGGGAAACAGCAATGAGGCCCAGTGTCCTTGGGCCCCTTGCTCCTGGGACCTGGGCTGCTCCCAGGTGAATGGGTGTGGCAGGGTTGGCCCAGGGACAGCACCTGCCTCCCCAGAGCTGATGGTGGAGGTCAGGCCCCGCCTGGCCCTGAGTTGGGCCACCACACTGTAGCTCCTGCAGGAGGGGAAACTCAACACAGGTAGGGAGAGGCGTTCCAGATAACGCTGAGGAGAGTGGACAGTGGGGCTCCTGCAGACAGGGGCCAGGGAGAGCATCACCTGGAGGGTCCCTGTGTGGGCTAACTAGGAGGGACAGAGAGTGTCTGGTCTGCGCTACAAGGAGCTTGGCCTGTCCAGGGACTGCAGGGCCAGGGCTGGACATGAGGCCACAGAGTGGGTGTGTGCTCAGGGTGACCAGGACTATGGTGAAGGTGAGGGCCACCCATGGGGGCGGGGGGGGGCTCTTGGAAAGCACCGTCTGGGGGCCAAGGAGGTCAGAGGAAGGGCCACCTGCCCAAGGACGGAGGAGGACCTCCCAGGGAGTGGGCCCCAGGCAGGCCTGCCACCCTACCTGTCTCACAGTGGTAACCGAAGAAGCCCTCGGGGCAGACGCACAGGTAGGCCCCACCGCCGTTCTCACACCTCCCTCCGTGCTGGCAGGGGCTGGAGGCACAGGCATCCACCTCTGGAGAACACCCAGAGGGTTGGCCCGCGCAGCAGGGGGGGCTCTGGGGGAGGGAGGAGAGGACAGCAGGAAGAAGGGGTAGGGGGAAGGAGCATAGGCCGAGAGAAGGGTGTGGGGAGCCCACGGGGTGGAAGGGGCTCCTGGGGAATCCCCCTCAGCCCTCCCCACAACTTCCCTCCCCAGGTGGCCAGAGCCCTGGCTGTCACTGGCCCTGGGTGTCCAGCAGGGAACGGGAGCCCACCACCCCTGATCTTCCAGAGGCCAGGCTCTGTTTGGGGACCCTCCCAGGAGCCCCCACCTGTCCCTCAGTGCACTCCAGTGAAGCTGCGGAGCACTGGTTCGCAAGTGGCAGGGAGGTCCCTGCAGGAGCCCCCGTCCCTGCAGGGCTAGGCTCTGCACTCATCTGTCTCTGAAGACAAAGTCCAGGCACCAGCATGTCCCTCAGGACTCTGGCTGCTCCTGGAGGAGCCTTCAGCCCCAGGGTCACCACTCTGCATCTTGGCCTTTTCTCCACTGAGCCCTTGCTCCCTTCCTAGGTGCACCACCTCCACTGCCTGCCCCTCCTCCTAGGGACCAGTGTCTCTGTTTGGGCTTAGAGTCAGAATCATAAGGGGCATAGTGCTCATCCAGCCACGCTCGGCAGGCCTCCCACCTCTGCCAGCTGGCAGCACCGGACAGGGGTGAGGCCATCCCCGCCTGCCCTCAGGCAAGTGTCTCTCAGTTGAGCTCTGAGTCCCCAGGATAGGAGGAGGCAGAGATGTCTGCAAATCTCTGTCCTGGACACTGGAGCTGGCAGGAACTTGGGGAGCAAGCGGTGGCCCAGCTGGCCATCTGGACAGAGACCCATCCAGGGGAGGAATGACTAGGGCAAGGAGGCTGTGCCAGGGCCCCAGTGCCTCCAACTGTCACACCCAGGAGTCTCTTACCCAGTTCACAGTGGGCTCCCTCATAGCCTCTGCTGCAGAGGCACAGGTACCCGGCTGCGTGGTTCTGGCAGGAGCCCCCGTGCAGGCATGGCTGAGACCGACACTCGTCCACTTCTGAGGGAGGGAGACCCCAAGAAGAAAGCCATTGCCCTCAGTTAAGCCAGGTTCAGAGGAACACAGACTAGTGCCGAGGGTTCAGAGTCCATGCCCCCTGCAGTTCTTGGAAAGGCCCACCAGGGGTCAAGCCCCTCGGAGGGAGGGGCAGGTTGAAGCCCCAGGACTCAGAGCCTGGCCATGGCTATGAAATTATGGGGATGATCGTGGTCATCTTAAGGGCTCACGGAAGACACTGCGGACTTAATTCCAATTTTGGAAAGGTCCAAAACATACGAGGTTTGGCAGAAAATGTTCCGTGTCAAATTTTGCCATTTCAGTATACAACAGTCCTGTGTGGAACCAGTGTATTTGGAGGCCAATCTGGTTCTGTGTGGTGAATCTGTATGGTGAAACCGGGAGTTGTGCTCCTGAGTTCAGATGTTCAATCTGAGGAAAGTCTCATGTCAACACCTACAAAGCAAGTGAGCAGGAACGGCCTGGGGGGCGGGAGCCAGCACCCGCCTGGGAGCTGGGCGCTCAGTGCTCTCGCACTTGGGCTTCCTCCCTCCTCATGGAACTGGCTTGCAAGTATGATTTCTTTGCCTTTTAAAAACCCTGTGAATGGCTAGACAATGGGTGGTTCTGCTTTTGCCTGTGACCTGTACTAGCAGAATATCACAGTGTGTGAAGTTCTTTCCCACCCAGCATTTTGACAGTGGTCTCTGCGGTGTGTGACCACCTCAGACTCATCCTTCCTTGTCTGGTGGACACTCGTGTTGGTTCCAGACTCTGGCAATTACAGCAGATGCTGCAGCAAGTACCCCACCTGCCCCCAGTGTAGATGTGCAAGTCTCTCCAGATTTCCTCCAAGTGGGGTCGCTGAGGCCAGCTCAACAGGCCAGTCACCACATCCAAGTGCTCATACTGACTTCCTCTCATCCCGCCAGCCGTCTGCAAAACACTGCTGGCCCACATTCTCACCAAGATGGGCTTCTTAGACTTCGGAATTTTGCCAACAGAATGTCTCGTTGTACTTCTGATTCGCATTTTCCTAATTACTAATGAAGTCGACTTTTTATGTTCGTTGTCCACGTGTCTCTTCTTCCACCATAGGCCTGTTTGTGTGTCCTGCCTGTTTCCATACTGATTGATTGTTCTCTCCTATGGACACATTGACATTTTTCACTCCATCTTGAAACAGCCCCTCATCAGTGCGCATGTGTACTGGCATGTGCCTCTGTACCCTCTTGAGGTTCCAGCTGACATTTCACTTCTCACTTAAGTTCCTAGTTCTTGCAGGAACAAGTTAGTCCATTCATTTCTTTTTTAGTGCATTTTGTGGCTTTCCTTACCCAAAAGTAAAAAAGATATTTACCTATATTTTACCCACACAATTATATAGATTTTGTTTTCGTTTTGGTACCAGCTCATGAGCTATTTCAAAACATCATTTAAAATATGGGGATGGTGGCTCACACCTGTAATCTCAGCAACTTGGGAGGCTGGGGCAGGAGGATCATGAGTTCAAAGCCAGCCTCACAATTTAGGGAGGCCCTAAGCAAATCAGTGAGACCCTGTCTCAAAATAAACTTTACAAAAGGGCTAGGGAGATAGAGCACTAATCTCCAGGATATATAAAGAACTCAAAAACACCCCCCAACCCCCAAATAACCCAATCAGTAAATGCACAAAGGAACTGAACAGGCACTACACAGAAGAAGACATATGATTGGTCAACAAATATATGAAAAGATGTTCAGCATCTCTAGCAATTGGAGAAATGCAGGTTAAAACTATCACTGAGATTCCATCTCTCCAGTCAGAGTAGTAATTATCAAGAATAACTATAAATGTTAATAAGGATGTGGGGAAAGAGGTTCACTTACACATTGTTCACTTATACATTGGGACTGCAAATTGGTACAACTACTCTGGAGAGCAGTATGGAGATTCCTCAGAAAATTTGGAATGGAACCACCATTTGACCCAGCTATCCCACTCCTGAGTTTATACCCAAAGGACTTAAAATTAGCATATTACAGTCACACAGCCACATCAATGTTTATAGCAGCTCAATTCATAATAGCTAAGTCATGGAACCACCCTAGGTACCCTTCAACAGATGAATGGATAAAGAAAATGTGGATGTATACACAATGGAATATTACTCAGCCGTAAAGAGAAATGAAATTTTGGCATTTGCCAGCAGTAAATGGATGGAATTGGAGACCATCATGCTAAGTGAAATAAGCGAACCCCAAACAAGAAACCAAAGTCCAAATGTTCTCTCTGATATGTGGATGATAACACACAATAGGGGGTGGGTAGGGAAGACTAGAGTACTTTGGTTTAGTCAGAGGGGAATGAAGGAAAGGGAGGGGAAATGAGAATAAGAAAGATAGTAGAATGAATTGGACATAACTTTCCTATGTCCATGTATGAATATAAGACCAGTGTAACTCTACATCATTTATAGCCAGAAGAATGGGAAGTTGTACTCCACGGATGTATATGTTAAGATGTACTCTACTTTCGTGTATACAGAAAAGAACAAATTAAAAAACAAGTCACTTAACAGTGATAAAAGGGCCAGGCAGGGGGAGCTGGAGATGTAGCTCAGTGGTAAAACACCCCTGGGTTTAATCCCTGGTACCAAAGAATAGAATACAGTAGCTCAAATCTGCATGGAGATTTTAAAATGTTCCTTGTTACTACTAACTTTTTTTGCTTGTTCAGAGAATGCGGTATCTTGGGTGTTCACCTGCATAACATTTCAAATCTTCTACCTCTCTGCTGTTTGTCTCCTCAGCCTGCAACCAACCAATTGGGTACACATTTTTAAATTTTAAGTTTATTTTAATATTTATCCTTTTGGGGATTTGCTGAGCTGCTTGGATCTCTGTGTTGACATATTTCTTCATTTTTTAGAAAAAAAATCATTCTCTCTCTGAATATTTCTTTTATCTACTGTGTCATCTGTTACCGGGGCCCAGTTGTGGACTTGTTTGCGATTGTCCCACAGACATCTGATCTCTGCCTGATGTTCAGCATTCATCTTTCCATTATTTGCTTTCCGTCATCTCCCCTCTGGTCCACAGGTGAAGAAGCTTTGTGGTCCTGGCTTTGAGTCCAGCTGAGTCTTCCTTTCAGATTGCACTTTCAGTTCTAGAATTTCTATATTGTTACATTTTAAATCTTTCTTTTCCCTGGTTGGGTTCTCTATTATTTCATTCATTTCACCTCTTTTCCCCTCTGTTTTCTGGGCTACAGTGGCGTTTTAAATTCCTTGTCTGTGAATTCCAACATCTGGGGCGCATGTAGGCCTATTTCGATTGACTATTTCCTTCTAGATTACCGTCATAATTCCTTGCTTCTCAGACACAGTTTGGACAGAAACAGCAGGGCCTGGGAGTGGGGCTCACAGCACAGTGAGGGCTGAGTTCCTTCTCAGCCCTGCAGCACACAAAGCCAGTGGAGACTCGGGTGACCACTCCTCCCTGGCACGAGTCCTATCCTGGGTGAGGCAGGTGGGCTGAACAGCTTCTCACTCTCCTTGATGCTCCCAGGAGCAGAGCTGGCTTGGGCTGCAGCCCCCGTCCAAGTGGCTTCAGTTTGCAGTGGCTGTAAACACTCAGGCCTCTCTCTCTAGAGCTGGACTTGGATCCTGGCTGTGCACCTGAGAAGGTCATGTGGGGAGAGCCGGTGGGACCTGAATCCCTGTGCCTGTGCTCGGCTCCACCGTGCTTGCCCACAGTATCGAGTGCTGGCTGGACTGCTCTGCTCCCCAGGGCACCTGCCCATGGTGGGGAGAGACACACCTGCAGTCTTTCTCACCTGCGAAGGGCTTGCCCAAAGTGCTTGCACCCCAGATCTTGGACAGGTCAGCAGACATGATCCTAGGCTTGGCAGTGTTTCTTCCAAGTCACACCAGAATGCCAGTGTCCATATGATCCATGTGTCTCCTTGGGGTTTAAACCACCTCCTATGGCCTTACTTCTGATGCTGCTGTTGGTTCTTTTTCCTCTGTAACCTGCTCTTCTCTCCAGATGTGCAGATGTTCTCATCCCACGGCACCTTTGCATTTCCCTGTCATGTGGCTGGGCTCCCTTTCCTCCTGTGGGATGCGCCATGAGTCCTTCCAACTCATCCTTCTTCTGTAATCCTGGGAATTTAACTCACAGCTGCTAGGAGTTTTCTCTCTTGTATTCATCTTCTCTGTATATCTATATTTCTCTACACATTACAGCTCTCTTCTTCTTGGGTCCCTTTATCCAGGGTGCACTGGGCTTCACCCTCCTTTTGATGCACAGTCTTTCCCTCTTCTTCCAACTGTCTTCAACTTATTCTTCATCTATTTCCACTACTAAATTATGTTTATTTCAACTATTGTAGTCTTAAATTCTTTGATTTATACTTTCTCCTTAAAAACTATTGATCCTGTTTTGTAGGGGCAACGCCAAGTTGAGCTTGTGCGTCACTCTGTACTATTTATAGTGCGGTAGCTGTAAGCACTGAGGCCTCTCTCTCTACAGCGGGACTTGGATCCTGTATTTGTACTGTACCATATGAAGCAGGCATGATCTACAGTGTACTTGCTATTTTGTGCTGTTAGTCTGCTCTCTGTGCCCTCCACCCCCGGGGCATGCTGTCTGGACCTCCTTTCCTACTCTGGAGTAGCTGTGCTTCTCGGGGGCCTCGGGGTCTTTCTGGTGAGCTCCTGTTCTCTTGAGGACACTGGCCTCTCATTTGGCAACAAGCTGGGGAGAAGCAGCACTGGAAAGGTCTCTTGACAGTCAGGCATGAGCCTTGGCAGGTCAGGAGTAGAGGACAGATGGTTGTGAACCAGGCATCCACAGAGCTCTTCACCTGGGTAGGGCTGCACAGGGTGGGCTGGGCTTTGGGGACATTTGGGAGATATTAATGGGCTTATGTGCCCCATTCCTGTCTGGATGATGTCACCACCAGCCCTAAGCTTGTGGCTTAGAAATCCTTGTTTTATGAAAATCATTAAACATCATGCAGCTTTTTGGAGGAAGACCTGGATGCCTTGGCTTGGTGCAACACTCCTGCCGTGGTGTCAGAGCCTCTGCGTCTTGAGGCCGCCTCCAGGTATGCACCCTAAGCTCCGGAACAGACACAGGCAGGACCCAGAGGCAGTGCTCTCTGGGACAGCCCTCTGCCGTGCCCTGCGTGTTGTGGGGGGTGGGGTGGGGGTGGGGGATGTTGTGCCAACACATATTCTGACACCACAGGTCTGGGTGGGTGGGAGTACGAGGCAGGTCCTAGCCTGGGTCTGCTCCTGAGGACCCTGCACTTGGCCACGTCTCGGCCTTGGCAGCTTCATCTGCAGAGTGGGCCTGTAGGTGGTTGACCCTCTGTTCTGAGCTACTCTGAGGATAGGGAAGCCCTTCGTGAGGATGTTCCCCAGTAAAGTTGACAGGATCCACATCCTCAATGCACAGAGAGGAGACAGGGAAGCTGGAGCTGGGCCAAGGATCTGTGTCCCTCCACAGGAGGAAGCTGGCTGGTGGGGGTGTGTGTCCCGTCCACCCTCCCCTGAGGGCCCACGAAATCACCTAAGCACTGGGGGAGCTGACTCCAGACACCTTGCGGCAAGCAGATGCTGGTGTGGCTGGGGGCACTCAGGCTGTAGCCATGGTCACAGGTGTACAAAGCCACCGAGCCCGGGCGAGTCCCATTGAAGCGCATGGTGGCATGCTTCACCTCTTCTGGGCGGCCACAGTCCACCTCTGCAGGAACAAGAGCACAGCAGCCTGTCCAGAGCTGCCATTCCTCTGCTGGGCCAGGGTCTGAGAAGGCCCAGCTCGCACCCTTCTGCAGCAAGGTGCTGGACTTTTGGGCACTGGCAGTTTCTGAGGTTTCCTTCCTTTTTTCCTTCCCGTCTCTGCCCGGTCCCACCCTTGGCATGACCCCTAGCCCAGTCCCCTGGATGGCTCACCTGCCTGGCACCGGTGTCCTGTGTACCCTGCTTGGCAGTGACAGGAGAAATCCGTGCCTAGATCCTCACAGGTGCCCCCATTTACACATGGGCTCCGGAAGCAGGGGGAGGGGGCTGAAAGAGAGCAGGAGGGTTCTTATCACCAAGTCTCCCGAAGGGCTCTCAGATGCATGGGGGTGTCCTGCCTCCTGAACCCAGATCCACCTCCTATTCCTGTAGGACCCAGGCCAGCCCTGCCCACTGGGCCTATATCCATAGGAGAGTTCCCCTGCTGTTCCCAACCCTACCTATCTCACAGTGCCGCCCGGAGAAGCCTGGGGGACAGTCACACTTGTATTTGCCAATGTAGTGGAAGCAGGTACCACCGTTGTGACAGGGGCCGGAGGCACAGGAGTCTGGTTTCCCTGAAAGCAAAGGCACCCAGCAGGGTCAGGTGTCATGGCTAGATGCTTCCCTTCACCCCCACCCAATTCCCTAGCATCCTAGGGCTGGGAGCCTGCGTGATGGTCTTCCTGAGAGACACACTCAGGTGGCTGGGATGGGGGCTGGGGGTGGCAGGTGGAAGTTTGGATCCCTCTCACTCTTCCCATGCTGATTCCAACTGATGGGGCCCAGTTCAGGGCTTGCCAGCCAGCCCACTCCATGCTGGGGCCGCACCGATCTCACAGTGCCTCCCGGTGAAGCGGTAGGGGCAGCTGCAGTGGTATTCGCCACCTGACTCCTTGCACGTGCCCCCATTCCGACAGGGCCCTGAGCTGCACAGGTGTGGCCGGGCTGTGTGGAAGGACAGAGATGATGGTGAGCACAGGGCAGCCCACTGCTGGTGCCTTCTGCCCCTGGCCGGCCAGGCCTGCTTCTCGGCTGAGGCCAAGTTAGCCAGGACATACACGGGGGCAGGGCTTGCAGTCTGCAGACCCTACTGAGCCTCAGGTGGGCTCTCTGGTGCAGAGTAGGCCCCACACCACAGCACACGATGCTCCCTCCTTCCTGTTTGGCATCTGAAGCAGGGGGCCGGGGGGCTGAGTTGTGATTGATGGGACGTCACCATCCACAGCAGTGGGTTCTGATTCCAGTGCTTTCTTGGCTCCTGAAGTATAGGTTGTGAGGCCTGTGCTTTAAAGGTGTGATTTGAATGGCAGTTGCCAATCAGACCTGTCTGTCTGTCCTCCCATCTTGAACACCACAGCTTGACAGGGCCTAGTGAGTTAAGTCCTTGGATTTCTTGCTGTCCTGCCAGGAAGGCACAGCCAGAGGGGGCCTTCCTATCCCTCAGAGTCCACCCCTCCTCTCCCCCACTCTACACTGGGAGGCCTCACAGCTGCATGTCCCACCTCTGAAAGCAGACTCCTGAATCCTCCCTGGGTCCCCCTTGGGGCTGTCCACACCTGTGGCTTCCTCTGCTCTCAGGAGTGGGGCCCCTGAGGGAGCCTACATAGTTCCTCAGGTGGGTACAGGGACAATGGTGCAGGGATACTGGGTACTGGGAACTGGGCCTAGAGAGGGGTGGGACGTGCTCTGGGAGCTGTGGCCTCCAACCCTTACGGGAGGTAGGCTGCTGGAGGAGAGTGCAGATGAGTTCTGGGCAGGGCCCAGGACGGGGGCAGTGGTTCCAGGAGCATATGGAGGAGGAAAGCTCAGCAGGTCTAGGAAAGAACTGAGCAGGGACGCCTGCTCTTGTGAACCCTCTTTCTTGTTGCAGGAGTGGGAGAGGCCAGAGGGGTCTCAGGGGCCACTGTCAGGGACAGGTGAAGAGCAGCAGAGGTGTCTGGGAAGCTCCTAGGTAGATCAGATAGGGTATTGGCTCTCCAGAGACGCCCAGGCCCGAGCTGGGATAAAAGGCCTGACCACACTGGACTCTGGCCAAGGGATGCCTGAGATGCTGGGAGATGAAAGCTGTAAAATGTCTACATTCTCCACATTTAATAAGGATTAACAAACTTCTAATGAAATGCTTTTTTTTAAAAACTCAATACAGTGATTCTAAGATCTATTTGGAAAAATGCTGAGCAGAAAGAAAGTAAAGCCCGTTCTGAGGGATGCAGGTCAGAACAAATGACAAAAAAGACAGTCAAAATAATGAGGCGCTGTTCCGGATAAGTACCGACAGAGCAGCATCGCAAGGGAGGTCCCAGAGCGATCCCAGGAAAAACCGAAGATGCTCGGAAATAGAACCGCTGGCCTGCGCACGGGCGCTCTCCAGGGTGCTGACCCCGCAGCGTCCCCGCAGGCCCCGCCCCCGGCAGCGTCCCCGCAGGCCCCGCCCTCCTGGGGCACCTTTCTCGCAGTGCCGGCCGTGGAACCCGCGCGGGCACTCGCACGTGTAGGAGTCGTCGTGGGAGTCACAGGAACCTCCATTGAAGCAAGGGTCTGAGTCGCAGGGCGATGGCAGGGCTGTGGGGGGAGGGCACGCAGAGGTCGGTCCTAGAGCATGTGCTGCCAGGATCGCCTAGGAATCCTGACTGGAGCCAAGGCCACTTAAAATATTCTGTGGACTCAAAGGCTCCTCCCTGGAATTTCTCATTCTTGGTTTTAGCATAATTCACCCTCGCTCTTCATGGGGTAGCACTGAGCTGTGACACATAAATGTCTTATCATCACTGCTGGCAAACTCGATACGTGCAGAATTATGTCACGAGGTTAAGCATCTTTACACTAGCAATAAATAGTAGTAAGTGCAAATACCTAATTATGCATGCACTAAGCGTTTCAACAGATTTGCGGGGGGGGAGGGGCTAGGGAGTCCACACGTGTTGCTTGTGTCCCGGTCAAAGTCTTTCTCCCTCCGCGCCCAGGAGCTCGCTGCCCACACTGCAGGAAAAGCTGTTGCCAGAGGCCCCTCCACCTGCAGGGCTGCTGGACAGACAGCAGCACTGGCCCTACCCGCGTGGTGCTGCCTTCTCCTGCAGGACACCCCGCCCCTCCTCTTTGGCCAGGACCCCCGCAGGCCCTTCTGGAGCCACTAACCGTGGGTGACATTGTGGCCTGTGTGGCAGACACACAGGTAGCTCCCACCGTACTCCATGCAGTAGCCTCCGTCTGGGCACTGGGTGTTCATGTTGCAGGGTGTGGCTGTGACTTCTGCAGAGAGGAAGAGGATGCTCCCATGTGGGCCTGTATTTCTGGGGACCTCAGGTCCTCGTCAAGGGTGGGGCTGCCCAAGACCCAGTGACCCTGCTAGGGAGACCAGGGTGGAGCACTTCTGCAGCCACTCGCCTCTCCCGCACAGGGTGCCAGTGAGGGTTATGGGACCCTGCTGATAGGGATGCTCGACAGAGCAGGATGACTGCTCCCCCCTTAGGCACGACACCTACCAAATTCACACAGGAGTCCAAAGAACCCTGGGGGGCACTGGCAGAAGGTAGTGTTGGTACCCAGGCACCTGCCTCCGTTGCGGCACTCACAGTCACTGGGGATTCCTGCCACAGGGAGGGAGAGGGTCCTACTGTAGGGGCACAGAAGATGGGCTCTCCCACCTGCCTTGCCTGGCCACCCTCCCACAACCACTGTGTGTACACACACGTCCTCACACACCTTCTCTCGGGAGCTTCCCGCATGCACACCCTATGGAAGGACCCTCCCTGCTTTTGCTACCCACGGGCAGAGCTGGGTCCTCCTGCCCCAGCCCTGGGGTATAATCCAACGCACTCTCTGTGCAGTTCAGGCCCATGAAGCCTTCTGGGCACTCGCACACGTAGCCCTGGTCCGCATCCACACAGGTGCCCCCGTTCTGGCAGGGGGCAGAGAGGCAGGCATCAGGCACTGAGTGGCTTCCTGCAAGAAAGGCCGTGGTCACAACTGGCCACTTAGGAGTGGGGAGAATGCAGGCACCCCCAGGAGGAGAAGAGCCACGTTCTGGCTGGTTTTGCACCTCTGTTCTCAGTGTCAGGTGAGACTTTAAGCCAGAGGCTGATTTTCTGGAAAATGATTTATAGCTGCTCTGCCCCCTGTAGCTCAGCGCCTGCCAGCTCCTTCCTGGTTTCCTGGAAGTGCATTTCCTGCTATAAATTTTAATACCTGTACCTGCAGCTCTGGGAAGCCAGCCCAAAGCCAGGGCCCCTAGGCACTCCTGGTCAAACATTCCCCTTGGTAAGATTATTGGGATTTTCCAGGTGTCTTTCTGTTGATTCTTAGTTTAGCTTTGTTCTGGCCAGAAAACATAATATTTTTTACTGAGCCTCATGTTATGGCCAGCAGTGGCCTATCATGGGGATGCTCCATGAATTCTTGCAAAGAATGTGTGTACTCTTGGAACACCTGTTAGGCCAAGTCCAAGTCTTCTGTAGCCATGTTGATTTTTCATGTGTTCTGTGAATTACTGGAATCATCTGTAATCATGAATCTGCTTCTTCTTGCAGTTTGTCAGGTTTTGTGTCATGTATTTTGATACACATTAGTAGGGCTAACAGGTGCAGGTATACTTAGGTTGTCTTGATGAATTGATCCCTTTACCATTACAAAAGGTTCCCTCTTTTTACTCCTGTAACTAAAATTCAAGCTATCTGATATTAATATAGCTATTGCAACCTCCTCTTGATTAACATTTGATCAATTTTTCAGGTACATTTAAAATTCATCTTTATAAATTAATATACAGTAAAATTGGCATTTTTGGTGTAACTGCTATGAATTTTAACACTGTATAGATTTGTGGAACCCCACCACAACCCGGATACAGAACATCCCATCACCCCAGAGACTTTGCGTTCTGTTTCTTCAGAGGTTTGGACCCCTGATCCTCTGAGCTCCTGGCCACCACAGCTGCCCATCACCGCAGTGTCGCCTCTTCGAGAATGCCAGGTGAGTGGCATGTGGCAGAGCTCTCACGTGGCCCTGTCAGCTCGTGTGTTGGAGGCCTGGTCCCCAGCTGATGGCACTCCTGGGAAGCAGTAGGAACTTTGGGGATGTCATTAGGGTGTGTCCTTGAAGGGGATCCTGGGGCCCTGGTCTATCTCGTCCTTCTCCGTGCTTCCTGGCTGCCCTTAGGTGAGCAGCCTCCTCCACCATGTGCTTCCGCCATGAAGTCCTGCCTCACCGAGGCCCAAAGGTACAGACGGTGCCCTCTGAAACAATGACCCCTTACTTTACCATGTTGACTCTCTCATCCATCAACATGGGGTGTCCAACCATTCATTCACTTAGACTGAGGTGGTCTCTCTCAGGGGTCTGTCACGTGACAAAGGCTGAGTCACATACATGCAGGAATCTCTTGTGACGGGCTGCTGAGTCATCTCAGTGAGTGTGTAAGGATGAGCTCCCTGTGAGACTGAGGGGTGTTTTCCGTTGTCACCACAGTTTATCTGTCCACTCACCCAATTTGGGGGACCTGAGTGTTAGATTTCTGGTGAACATAAATAGACATGATGAAGACACTGTGTAGAGTTTTGCAGTTCTCATTTCTGTAGGGTGAACACCTAGGAATAAGAGGCTGGGCCACATTATAGGTGTATGTTTAACATATAAAAACGGCCACGTTGTTTTTAGAGTGGCAGAACCATTCTGTAGTCACCCCCAATGTGGGCGAGTCCACTGCTCTGTATCCACACCAGATCGTCATCACGTCTTCTGGACACTGCAGTCAGTGTGGGGGGGTGTCTCACTGTACCCTGGGGCTGGCACCTCCCTCATGGCTACTGACAGTGACCTCCACCTGCCCTCCACCTTGTGCTCCTGTGGTTGTGCGTCTTAAGTCTCTTGTCCATTTTATGATTCAGTTCTTTTCCCACAGTTGGTTGCTTTCCCACATCAAGTCCTTTATCAGAAAATATTTTCCAAATATTTTCTCCCCATCTGTATTTTTGTCTTTTCATTCTTTTAACTATGTCTTTCACAGTGCAAAAGCTTTTAATTTGGGCAAAGAAGTCTAATTTATCTATTTTTTTCTGATATAGATAATGCTTTTGCTGAGGCCAGGTTACCAATATTTTTTTTCACATTTTCTTTTAAAAATGTTATAGTTCTACATTTTCCATTTAGGTTTATGCTCCATTTTGAGTTAATATTTGTATAAGGTGTGAGGTTTGAGTTTTTTTTTTTTTTTTGCATAAGTAAAATTTCAATCCCATTTATTGGAAGGATCATCCTTTACCCACTGAATTGCTTTTATATATTTTTCAAAAGTTAATGGACCATATTTGTGTGAATCTGATTTTGAATTCTCTCTTCTGTCCCATTGACCCATTTGCCAGTAACACGTGGTTGTCTTCAGTGTAGGTTTATAATTAGTCTTAACACCTGGTAGTGCAAATCCTCAATATTTATTCTTCTTTTTCAAAATTGTTTTGGCTATTCATATAAATTCCCATATAAATTTTAGAACAATCTTGTCTATATCTACAAAAAAAATCCTGCTGAGATTTTGGTTGGAATCCTATTAATTAATCAATGTGGGGAAAACGGACATCTTTACTTTACCATGTTGACTCTCTCATCCATCAACATGGGGTGTCCAACCATTCATTCACTTAGACTTCCTTTGGCTTCCTTCATCATTATTTCATAGGCTTAATCATACAAATTCTGTGCATTTTGTAAGATTTACATCTAAATTTTTATCTTTAGGGGAACTATTATAAAAGGTATGGTCTTTAAACTTTGGATCAGATCACACATGCCTAACCTGGGGGAGCCCAAGAGTTCATAAATAGCTTCCTAAAGTTGCTGAACCCAGGTGCAACCCCTGCTCAGTCTCCATGAGCTCCTGGGTTACTCTTCTTGGTCCTGTGGCTAGAAAGCTGAGCTTTCAGTTGCCCTCCCTACCATCTGCTCCTGCGACTGTACTTGTGGTGGGGGGCAGAGAAGGACAATAACAGGGGTTGGCTGTACCCTTTGCAACTGTAGCACCTCCAGTTGGTGAGGAAGGTTCCCTGCTCACACTGTGAGGTCCCCACAGTGGGCCTCCATGGGCTCTGCTTCTGGAGCCCAGCCACAGGGATTACTGGGCTCCCCTTGGTCCATGTTGTGGACATGTTGCTCACTTTTGGTTTCAGAGTGACTTTGAGTCCAAACTGAGGGGTTACCAGAGAGGGGAAAGAAAAGTAAACTCACCACTGGCTCGGTGGCACTTCTTGGCTTGGTCTCCTTCCCCAGTGCACCTGCTACTACTTACTTCCCCGAGTCCTCAGATAGCTACTCCACGCATTCTGTCCAGGGTTTATGGCTGCATTCGGTGGGAGAGACAGGATAGAGTGGGCTTACTCTATCGCACTCAGGACTAGAAACCCGTCCGTCACTCTGCAATGATCTGCACTGCCACGCTTGGTTTGGGTTTCTTTAAAACAGTGTCTTGATGGGTTTTGGTTTTTGATTCACTGACAACCTAGTCTCTAACTGGTGCCTTTGGTTTACATCTTACTGAACTACAGATGTGAATCTGTGTGTCCTGCTGCTCCTTTGTTACTTTTTTCCTACCTCTGGATTGATTAAGCATCTACCATTCTACCCCCACAACTGGTTTTAGTTTATCTTGTTTTTTTACTTGTTGCTCTAGAGATTACAATGTTTATCTTTTACTTAAAACTTATCTTTTGCCTTTACCTTTAAGTAATATTATGCCACTTTATATAACATGAGGCTTTTATAATATTATACTTCCATTTCTTCCTGTCTTTTATGCCAGGTTGATAAACTATGGTCCACAGACCAAATCTCGCCTGCCACTCATTTTAAAAATTAAAGATTTTTTTGGCACCCATCTATGCCATACATTTGTGTCTTATCTATGGCTTATTTCCTATCACAATGGCAGAGCTGAGTAGCTGTTTTCAAGCCAAAAGTATTTATCTGGTCCTTACAGAAAGTCTGCACCACCTTGTATGATAGTTTATTCCTACCTATACTGTAAACACCATAATATATCACTACTTCATTTTTCAAACTTTCTTTTTGTACTGGGTATTCAACCAGGAGTGCTTCACCACTAGTTACATCCCACCCATTTTTATTTTTATTTTGAGACAGGGTCTTTCTATGTCATTCAGGCTAGCCTTGAACTTGCAGCCCTCCTGCCTTAGCCTCTGTAGTCACTGGGATTATAGGTGTGCAACACCACATCAGGATACTACCTCCCCTTTAGAATAAAAATTGCTTATTTTTAAATTGTCTTTAAGGAGCTTTTGAAGTAAGAAAGTCTTTTACCTACAGATTGGTAGTTCCCAACATTCTGTACTTTGTGTAAACCCATAGTTTACACAAAGGATCATTTTCCTTTCATCTGAAACATTTGACATTTTTACAACACAGATAGGCCGATGAATGCTCTTGGCATTTATTCATGTAAAAAAGTCTTCATTTCTCCTTAATTTCTGAAAGATGGTTCTGCTCTGCCGATAGTTTTTTCTTTCAGCTCTGAAATGATGTCACTCGTGTGTGCTGGTGAGTGCAGCTTCTGGCCAGCCTGCTGTCACTCAGGTTCTCTGGATGTGACGACGTGTCCCTTTGCTGCTGCTGAGACACGTTGCTTGTGCTGGGCCCAGCAGTGCTCACGGGGTATCTGTGTGGTCTTCCTCATGCTCTTCTTGAGCACTTGGGCTTAGTTTTCATCCACTTTGGAAGGTACTTGGCTGTCATTTCTTCTGTACTGTTTATGGAACTCCCTCTTCCCGCCTCTTCCTCTCTGTGGACTCCAGGTGCACAGATCCAGGCCTCTTGGGGTGGTCCTGGGGGCCACACATCACCTGTGCTTCCAGTCCTGCTCTCTGGACACTTTCTGAGTTGTTTCCATTCCTCTCCCTCCTTCTCGTGTGTTGGACCTCCCTCTGCAGCATCTAACCTGCTGTCACAATCCAGTGTACTCTAAAAATTCAGACATAGTTTTCATCACTACAGTTTCTTTTAAAACTATTTTGTACTTCTCATTATTCCAGGCTTGAGAATATGCAGCGTTCTCCTACGAGTGTCTAAATATTGATAATGATGCTTTTGTCTCTGTGGTCTCTGTTTCTGCTGATCTGTTTTTCTCCTGGATAGAGGTCACGGCCGACTTTTCTGCTGGCCTGACATCTTTGACTGGGTAGCTTGGGTTGCGGGCCCTGCGCAGGCCTGCTGTGCTGTTGGGGAGTGTAGGATGCTCCTGCGTGTGGTCAAGACCTGGGATCCGCTTGATCCTTCTGAGGCCGCTGAAGGCTCCTCCTGCGGCTCTCTCCACCCTGGCCCTGGTGTGGAGAGTCCCTCCGCTCTGGCAGGTGTGGGTGACTTTCCGAGCCCTGTTGGAGATGGGAGTCGCTTTCTGGTGTTCTGTTCTAGCTTGGCGGATTCCCCCCACCCAGATCACACTGAAGCCAAGACTCCAGGCCCTTCCTGATCCCACGTCCCATCCCCCCACCCCTAGCTCCATCTGTTCTGGTCTGAGCCCCCAACCTCTGTTTGAGCCTTCAAACCTGAATCTTGCTCCTCGACTCGGGGCTCCTGACCCTGGACCCCTCCCTGCAGAGCAGCCTGGGTGCTCGACAGCATCTGGGGCGATTGCAGGGCTCTCCTCTCCTCTCCACTGCCCTTGGCAGTGTGGTCCAGGGGCTGACGTCAGGGCACCTACAGGCTTGGCTTGGCTTTCTGATTGTCGACAGTGAGAGGGGGATTTCTAGAGCAGTTAGCATGAGAGCAGCCACTCTGTGGTCTCAAGTTCGTCGGTCAGTTCCCGTGAACTCTGGTTAGACTGCCAGCGAACTTACATCAGTGGTCCAAGGTCCGCTCTGTGGTTTGTGTATGTTTGGGGATGGAGTCTCCTTTGTTGCCCTGGCCTCAAACTACTGGGCTCATGTGATCCTCCCACCTTAGCCTCCAAGCAGCTGGCACCAGGCACTCTGCCTGTCCTGCTGTTTTTATCATTCACTTCCATTTGCATTATTATGCTGTGTCAAACATGATTTATTTGTAGAAATCTTTGGAAACCACTTACCTGCCTTTTGACACGAGTGTAGTGAACCACCTGAGGAGAGAACTGCAACCCAGGTGTGAAGGCAGCCAGCAGGCCAGGTGCTCCCCCCCCCCTGCACTCCAGCCTGCCCCCTGGGGACGCTCTGCCTGGGTGGCCATGGACATGGAGAAGGATGGAAGGCAGTGGCCATCTGTGTCTTTCTCATGGTTAAATTAACTTCCTTCTTATTTTTTAAAGCCAAAAATGAATTTGCAGAGTCTCTCAGCCCCAGGCACAGCAGCCCCTGCACCTCCGTGGGTCTGCCCCATGGGTGGGCCTGGGGTCAGAGCCGTGCTGACACTGACGGGTTTGGTGCTTCAAAATCTCTAGTTGGCCTCTTCCTGGGTCTACTGTCCCGACCCACGTTTAAAACATCAGGAAATGGCAGAAGGTCCCCCTGCAGGCACTGAAGGCCAGCCTCCTTTCTAGCTCCCGGAGGGTTCTGGGTCAGGACGATGTTAAGAGGCCGTGACACTAAGCTGGAAGAGGAGGTCTGTTCCTGCATTTTGCAGAGGAAATCAAGGGCCAGACCTTTCCCTGAGCAGGAGAAGACCCTCACCCAGCCTCCCAGCTTGCTCCCTGCTCTGCAGGCCCCGGCTCAGGAGGGGATGGGAAGTGGGGAGAGGGCAGGGACCTCCCCAAGCCAGAGGCAGATGTGGGGTTGAGCTGGACAGTGAGGCAGGACACGGGCATGTGGCCAGCTACCTGTCTCGCAGCGAGCTCCCTCGAAGGGCTCCACACACACGCAGGTGTAGTTCCCCACCAGGTCGACACATGACCCTCCGTTTAGGCAGGGGTCAGAGCCACACTCGTCCACATCTGGGGGCAGCAGAGGTGGCAGGTTGGCTGAGCCCAGGTGGGACACCCCGGGCCCAGCATCTGGCCGGGAGGGGAACCTCTCCCAGCACCACCCACTTCCCCTGGCCCTTCGCCCAGAGAGTCACTGCTCACCCGTCTCGCAGGTGGCCCCCGTGTACCCGGCCTGGCACACACACACGGCAGAACCACTCTCCGCCTGGCACTGGCCGCCATTTTGACACTCTGTGCTGTCACATGGGGATAGGGCTGCATGAAGGAGGAGAGGACGGCATGTTGGGTGCCTGGCTGTGCTACTGCTCAGCAAAGACCCAGGACCCTGCTGAGCCCCTCCCTGAACTTGCTGCCCCGGCAGAGATGGTTTCTGTGACCTGCGGGGCTGAGGCGGCTGACCACCGTGTGTTCTGTGAATGATGCTCACATGGTGTCAGTGCAGCAGGCTGAGCCCGAGGGCAGGTGGTCCCTTGTGTAGCTCTCCCAGCACCACCCCACAGTGAGGCTCGGGCCAGGAGGGGCCCGTCTTTCTCTGTCAAGAGGTCAAGGGCGAGGGGAACCCAAGGGGCCCCAACGAAGGTGCTGGTCAAAGTACAATGACATGAGCTGAATCGTCCAGGACAGCTTCAAAGAGCCAGGCTCTGAGGAGAGGGCCAGCCGCCAGTGGTCTGGAAGCAGGAGTGGAGAGGAGAAGGACCCAGCCCCTGCCCGGGCTCTGGGACCCTGGGCTGGGGAGAAGGGGTGTCCTTGGACCTGCTGGCTCAGGAGGCATGGGCAGGTGGAGGGCGGGCTGGGGGGTCTTGCTCCCTGAGCACACCTCTGGGCCCTGCTCACCCAGAGCTGGCCCAGGAGCTCCAGGAGTCCCTGTCTGCCCATCGAGCTATCTTGGTGGGCCTCATCTAGGCTCTGCTGATGGTCTGGCCTTGACGTGGGCCTGGGCGCCGACCCAGACGCCAGCCTACATCAGGGCTTCACTCCTACTCCGGCATCAGGGCCTGGAAGCCATGTCTCTGGGGGTCACTCCTCTGGCTCACCCACGGGCAGGACTTTTGCCTAGTGCCTCCCCCACCGCCGACAGCCTCTCTGGTTGGCCGACAGCTGAGGCTGAGCCCCTCCAGGGCCTAGACCTCCGCCTCTCTAACCCGGGTCCAGCTCTCTTGCAGCAGCAGGGTCAGGGGGCCTGCTGGCAGGTTATTCTTACCCGACTCACAGGTGGGTCCCCTGAAGCCAGCTGGGCATTCACAACTGAAGCTGTTGACACCATTGGTGCAGGTCCCGCCGTTCTGACACGGGTGTGAAGCACACTCGTTCACATCTGAAACGGGCAGGCTGGGCTTCAGTGGAGGACACAGGGCTGGGAGGAGCACCACAGCCTTGGTGGGGTGGGGGCAAACGGCCAAACAGAGCTCGACTCAGAGAAGGCCTCCAGGGACAGCAGCAGTACCCGCCGACCGTCTTCACTGCCACAGAGCCGCAGCATTTGCCCCTCAGCCATCCCCACAACAGAGGGAGAGAAACCCTGACTCAGGCCTTCAGGGTCACCCCTGCACCAGCAGCACTCCTGAGCCCAGTGTAGCCAGGGGCCAGTCCCCTCAGTGAGCACCCTGCTCCCCCGGGCCATGACTCACCCAGGTGGCACCTCCGCCCTGTGAAGCCTGCGAGGCAGGAGCACGTGTACGAGGGGTTGCCGGTGACACAGTCATCGATGCACTTGCCGCCGTTGAGGCACGGGCGCAGGGCCAGGCACACAGAGGCTGTGGGCACAGCAAGGAGCCCGAGTCTATGTCAGCCCCTAGGACTTGGGCCAGAGAGCCGCTCATATACACTATGTCCTCCTTCCCTCCCTTGGTCCCCAAGGTCACCTGGTGACCAGGCTTTCACTGCCCAGGGCCTGGTCTGCAGGGAGCCCTGTGTGACGGAGGGGTGCTGCCTGCTGGAGCTCCGGCTGGCAGTTAGTGCCTCAGCTTTGACCTTGCCTTTGGTGAAGGCACACCCCCAGAATCACACCCACAGCCCCTGCTTGTCCCCCGATCTTCCCCGGCTCTGCCGTGGGCAGTTCTGAGGCCCAGGCGCCCCTCTGGGTTCCTGGCGTGTCAAAGGAGAGGCTGGCAGTCAGCCATCACAGCCCTGTTTCTCCTAGCACGGCTGCCACCAGGAAGGGCCCCGACCTCCACACCCTGACCCGCCGCAGCAGACAGCCAGGAGAGCAAGGCTGTCCCACCTGTGGCTGAGAAGCACAAATCAGCAGGTGACAACAGCATCCCCAGGACTTGGATTCCTGTTGCTAAGAGGGTCCCAGGGAGACTCCTGGAAGGACCCCGTGCTGCCCGCCCAGCCTCCCTATGCTTGGCCACCTGCTGAATGGTTCTGCCTGTGGGCCCTGCTTTCTCAGAATCCGACCTCCAGATGTGGATGCACTGCCTCTCAGCACACACTGACCCCTGCTGATGAGCCACGTTGGTGGAGTCCTCAGAGCTGACCCTGGAGCTGGATAGTATGCATGCTGCTGCGAGGCTGGCTTGGAGCACTGCAGTGTCCCCGCCCGCAGGGGTATCGGGGACCTGGAGGCCCCTCTGACTGTTCATCCAGAGATCTTGGACAGTGGGCAGGAGGGCCCCCAAGGACTGGCAGGACCCTCTTGTGAGGGCCCCTTTCCCCAGGCTCATAGTTCACAGCTCCAGGCATGGCCTGCCCACAGGACCCCACCTGCACCTTCTCCTCCACCCAACCCCAGTCCTTGGCCTATGGCAGGCCACCTGACTTCACTGGCCCACCCAAAGCAGTGGTTGGGAGTGGGCGTCTGCACCTATGTGCACCCTCAACTGCCTGTGCCAGATCCGTGGCGGAGCCTGGAACGGCTTTGATCGGAGACACCTAGCCTGAGGCTCCCCAGCTTGGGGGTGGGGGCGTGGCTCCTGGACGCCAGGCCCACGGAGTGCCTACTCCCTAAGCTCAGACTCAAACTGGGGCCTACTCGTAGTCGGCTTTGTGGGCAGCCTGTGGCTTGCAGGCCTCTCCCCAGAGGTGGGTACTCAGGAGTGTCTCCCCAGCCAGTAGATGCCTGGTGTTCCTCCCTCTTGGTCATTGTGTGTGTGCCTGCACCTGCAGCTGGTCTGCCGGGTCCCCAGCTTTGTACTGGCTCTCTGGAATAGCGCTAGGGAGAAGCACCCAGCTTGGGGTGGGCTTGGGCCCAGAGGAGGGAGGGGAGGCAACTCGGGTGGCCTCAGGCCCAGAGGTGGGAGGGGAGCCCCAGTAGAGGCCTCTCTGTGGCACCGGCTGGGCTTGTGAGGAGCAGCTGCCCCACATGCCTGGGCAGTCACCTGATGCCCTTGGGCAGTCACCTGACGTCTTGTCTCCCGAGGCTGCACGCAGCAGCACTGGGGGTCCCGGGTCCACGCTGTCCCAGGGCCGTCTGCTGGTGCAGGAGGGACCAGCCCCATCAGCCTGCACGGTCAGATGGAGGGACCTGGGGACCACCCAGTCTGTACCAGGCCCAGGCCGGTCACAACACCGACCCCCAAGTGTGGCCCACGCCTGTGGTCCCAGCCTACATCAGGAGCCCATGAGCCCTGGGGAAACCGGCTCAGGGTCGGCCCCAGGACCTGCCCAGTTCCTGTGCTTCGTCCTCACGTGGTCCCCCTGCCCTGGGTCAGCACCCCACCCAGCCCCTCCTGCAGGCCCCCATTCCTCATCCCTCCCCGCCCTGAGCCTCTTACTTGTATGGCCGCAGCCCCCCACGCGCACCTGGGCATCATCGATTCTGAACGCCCAGCGCCCGGGCACACCCACGTTGGTGGTGGTCTCCACCTCTGCCATGTCCGCGGTGCGCGAGCCAGGGATGTTGAAGTAGCGCCGCCCATCGCCCGCATTGAAGCCTGCCTGGGGTGGGGGCAGGAGGGAGACAGGTCTCCTTACATTTCCTCGACCCTTCCCTGGGTGGCCAAGGTCAAAGAGGGTGGGGCCGATGGCCTGGTACCTGGGACTCTGCATATGTCAAGTCCTAGCCAGGCCCTGAGGTCAACCAGCCTTGCCTCAGCCAACGGGAGCACTGGCCCTGTTCCCTGACCCCGGCCTCCAGCCTCACCCCTGGGCTCCTGGGCCTCCCCGAGGGCCTTGGGGCCGGAGAGGGTCCAGAAGGTGAGTGGAGGCACACTGAGGGGAGGGGCTTCCGGTCACTTTTGTATCTGTCAATCAAGAGCCACTGTAAGGAGGATCAGGGGACCATGAGGATTTCTGGAGTTCTGGGCAGTGAGGGCCCACGTGAGGACCCCTGGCTGTGCCTTGTCACTATGACCTCCTCACTCTGGCTTCTGCAGGGTGGTGGGGCACATCTGCCTACAGTGACCCCAGCCTCGCTCCTTCAGGTTATGACAGTCCCAGCAGGAGGAATAGGGGCCCTGGATACCAAGTACCAGCCCCACCGTGACCTACCTGGGCTGCGATGCCCCCCAGGCCAGCAGAGTTGCCCCCACTGCTGGCATGAGTGCCTGTGGTCCATGAGATGGACTCGTAGTTGAAGATGGTGAAGGAGGACTTGCCGTTGGTGACCAGCACTGTCTGGAACGTATTGACCTGTGAGGGAGAGAGGGCTGGGCAGGGGCTGCAGTGAGGCCCTGCTCTGGGCCTCCTCAGTGTCCGCCCCACAGGGGACAGTCAGCCAGGCAGGAGTGCGAGGGCCCAGGGCACAGCACCCCGCCTTGCTGCATGGGCCGTGAGTGACGTGCACTGGGTGGAGGCCGCCTGGGACACGAAGCAGACTGGGCCCACCCGCGAGGACGCGGCTCTGCAGTGGCTTAGTGCTCACTTGGCCAAGTCCATGAAATTTCTTGTGTGAAATGAACAAAAATGTAAAAAGAAAAAAGGGGGATGATACAGGGGAACTAGAGAAGAGCCGTTCCGCATCCTCAAGGTTCATGATCTGTGTTCCAGGGTGGGCAGTGTCCATGTAAGAGATGTCATCTTACTTCGGGGTGAGGAATTGGGACAGTTCAAGAATGACCTGGGACACATGGGGAAGCTTCCTGAGAGAGAACAGACTCCGAGCCTGCTTTTGCACAGTACCTGATTAATCCCAACCAAGTGTGGCTTTAAAACACAGCCGTGGAAATCCAGGAAGGAAAGAGGCCGTGTGTCCACACCTCGTGAGGAAAAGGACCTTTGAGCATGACGTTTGTTAACAGCAGGGACCACAGGGAGACTTAGGTATTGGGGAAAAAACTTCTTATTAGAAAAAAGTGTTGTAAGGTCAAACTGAGTGTCAAATAGCAAAGTGAAGAAGCCCTTGTGACCCGTGGTAGGTCCACATGGATCTCCTTCACAGGGCAGCGTCCGATCACAGGGAAAGCCCCAGAACATTCCTCCACAGCGGAGGACACCAGCAGCAGCAGCTGGCCAGACCCGACCGCCCCCGAGAGCAAAGACACCCAAGTCCCTCAGAAGCACCTTCTGTGGCCTGCGTGGTTGCCAAGGAGGGACAATGACATAGCCCGCGGCTGGGGTCAGGCACTGGCACCGCGAGGTGTGGGGGGGGGACTCTCAGAGGATGCTGCAGGTCTGCAGGCCATGGGTCTCCAGGACACCACCATGCCAGGGGCCACTTGGGGCCACGTGGTGGTTGTAGCACATGGATTTTGTCCAAGTCCAGGTGAGACAAGTTGAGGTACAGCAGGGCCCTGGGCTGGCTGGAAGCCATGGAGACCATGGGAGCCGCGGTGGGCACTGTAGTGTGAGCAAACAGGGGAATGGGCACTGTGCTTTGGCAAAGTGAACCTAACCAAGATGTGACAGCTACCATCAGGGTGTGGGAGCGGGCCTGTGGGAGCTGGCCAACCTCAGTGTTTCCACAAGCTACAAGGACGTCCACTTTGTGTCGATGAGCCTGCTCCTGGCAGCGCGGGAAGTGCTGCCAAGTGCCACCTGTGCCTCCGAGCACGTCTGGTGCCTGGTGCCCGCAACATGCTGTTCCTGTCACCTCCACTGGAGTATGCTGATGGGCTGCACTACTCCTGTTTGTTTTGTCCAGGGCTGTGTCCCCAGTGCCCAAGACACTGCCTGCTGCTTAGCAGGTGCCCTAAAAAGTGTTTATTGAGTGGTGAACAGAGAGCTTGGGACGTCTGCCCCTCGGTACCTCTTTCTGGGGAATTAGCATCTATCTGGGCAGTTGTGGCCCAATATCCAACACAGGCCTTGACATCGTAGGTGCTCAATAAACACTGTCCTCCTAAGGGAGCGTCCACCCACCTCTTCTCACCAGGCTGGGCAGAGTGCCCAGGAATTCCTGTTAGCACACTGGCTGGCTGGCATTGCCAAGGGCGGGGAACAGAAACGGAATGGCTCCTGCAGAGTCCCTGCGTGCTGGGCATTCCAAATGGAAGTCCTCCTGACTCCTGCTCACCTGACAGAGTCACTAGCACATCTGCTGCCAGTGTGCAGCTTCCATGAGGTCTGGGAGAGAGGCTCCACCCCCCTCCACGGGTCCTTGACCGTGGCCAGGAAGTGGACATACTCTTTGCTGCGGGGACTTGGATTCCTGAGCCCCAGGCTCCTCTTGGGTGTGGATGAGGGACTGCACCTGGCCTGCCTGGGGGAGGGTCCTAGCTAGATACCCTCCCTTCTCAGGACCGAGGCCCGGACTCACAGGAGAAGAAGAGCTGCCTCCAAAGAAGGTCACTCGGTACCATGTGGCGACAAAGACCCAGGTGGCAGAGAAGTCTGGGCTCTCGGGGAAGTAGCGTCTGATGTCCTCCGTGGCTCTGTGCAGCGTGGCTGGGTCCGTGGCCTCCCGGTAGTAGACGTCACCTGCACGCCTGTTGTCCACATCTGCCCAGAAGGCGGCCACCACGCAGCGGTCCTTGGCGATCGGGAAGGCCACGGGGGTGAACTGGGAGACCTCCTTGAGGAAGGAGATGATGCCGTTGTTGTTCACCTGGAGAGAGAAGGCGGGAGCTGGGCGCGGGCCTCCTGCCTCCTGATGGGGCATCTTGGGAGGGCGACCCAGCCTCAGCAGCAGCCCCAGAGGGCCCTGAGATGGGGCCCCAGGCAGGCAGGTGCTCAGGGCCAGGTTCTGACCAGAGCCGTGGGATCCCTCCCAGCAGGGCCTGCTGCTCTTGGCCTGCCCAGCGGCCTCTGCGGCTTCAAGGGCTTCTTGGGCCATTGGGAAGGGTGGGGTCCGGGCCAGGGCCAGCACAGCCGGCGGAGGATGGAAGTGGGGAGCCCCAGGAGGCTTCAGAGCAGCAGAGGCCGAGCAGAGGCTCTGCATTCAGACAGGCAGAATTCAGGCCTGACTCTGTGTCCCTGAGACAGGTCAGCTACCCCCCAGCTCTGGTCTTCTTACCTCTGAGACTGAGCTCACACGGGCTCAGTCCCCAAACCCATCCTCACCCCCAAGATGATGTGTGAGGGGGTGGGGCCTTCTGGAGGGAGGAGATCATGAGGGCGGAGCTCTGAGGAAGGGGATCAGTGACCTTATCAAGGCCACAGGGTGGCCTGCCACATGAGGACACAGTTGGAAGACCCCAGGAAGCAGGCCTCTCTGGCATCAACTCTGAAAGAACCAGGGCTGTGAGAAGAATGCTCCTGTGGTTTATAAGCTTCCCAGTCTCAGGCACTTTATTATAGTAGCTTAAGACACCAGCTCTGACCTCACAGGGGCTGGGCAAAGGCATACAAGTTGATGGTCACAGTGCTGGCCCCATATTGTCACTCTTTGCTGCTGGGACTCCCTCCAGCGAGGGCATGTGTGTGTTCAGATCAACAAAACGGTGGATGGATGCACTCTGTCCCCCAGAGCACCAGGGTCCAAGCCAGGGCCAGGAGAGGCATGGGGGCTGGCCTCTGTCCTCACTGCCCTTCTGGAGCCCAGCTGCGACCTGAGCAGCTCAGGGAGGAGAGAGGGCAACGTGAGAGCTCAGGGCTAGCTGCAGCCAGGTCCCTGACCAGCCTGCAGGGGCGCTGGGCCCTGGCTCCAGGCATGTGGGTCCTGGGGTGTGGGTAGGGTGGCCTCCTCCAGGCAGAAGCCAACGAAAATATGCTCTGGAGGGAGATGGTGTCATCTTGGCCTCAGATTATTCCTACAAGTGACTTGTAAACCAAGGACATAAAGATGATCAAGCACATAGGAGGACCTCAGCAGAGGGACACCAGGTGTGGCACCGTCAGGCTCCCACTATCCAATAACAAGGCTCAAAGAAACAAAATGCCAATCTTGAGATTCCATCAAGACAGTTGGCCAGGTGTGGTGGCACACGAGGTCCTGCTGGCCCAGGGGGAGGGTCCCAGGTTCCAGGCCGCTTGGGTGACTGAGGTGGGGGAGGGCGGGGGATGCAGTTCAGAGGTGGTGTCCCTGGGCTCAGTCTCTGTCACTGCACCATTGTCCTTTGCCCACTTTTGAATCAGGTTGTTTGTGCTTAGTTGTTGCATTTGAGAGCTCTTTCTATGTTCTGGACACCAGCCCCTTATCAGGACATGGCTGGCAGATGTCACCTCCAGGCCAGGGGTTTGTGACACTGTTGACTGTCTCTTTTGATGTCCCAAAGGCCCAGGAAGTCCTCTATGTCTGTTTTCTTTTATTGCCAATGACTCTGGTTTCATACCCAAGAAATCGCTGCCCAGTGGCTGCCCCCGGCTTCCCCCCGAGTTCCGGTGTCAGCCTTTGATCTACTTTGACCCTGTGTGGGGTGCAGTGCCAGGGGCATCTGACAGCATCCTTTCCTGTGTGGCCACTCGGCTTCCCAAGTACTCTCTGCTGAAAGCCTGTCCCTGGCCCTGATGGCCTTGGCCTGCTGTGAGAGGTCCTCTCTGCAAGAAACCTGAGTGGCTGACCGCCCCATCTGACCACCTGGGAGGTGGGAGGCACAGAGCGCCAGCGGCCGTGAGCACTGGAGCTCTCAGGCCTGGCTGGTGGAGACGTAACGGTGAAATGGAAAGGGGGAACAGAATGAGTAATGGTGACCACAGAAGGACCCGGCCATTTCGCTCCTGCCTATAAAGCCAGGTCAAAGGCCAGGTCTTGAGGATTTGCATTGTGTGCCCAGGTGCCTAGTGTCATTATTCACAACAGCAAGAGGCTGGAGGCCACCCCAGCGTCCACTGGTAAAAGGACGGACAGAGAAAGAATGGGATGTTATTCAGCCTTAAGAAGAAAGAGAGTCCCAGGTGTAGCAGGGTGGTGAGCCCTGGAGATGCGGTCAGCGCAGTCAGCCAGTCCCCAGGGCCCTGACCACAGGGCCAGGTCCACATGCACCCCAGGTCGTCCTGCCCATGACTTCCTGGAGTCCTTGTGCAGCCAGTGTGGAGTTCAGTGGAGCAAGAGGCGCCCTCTGTGGGCAGCTGTGCAGGTGCTCACGCTGCAGCTCTGAGCGCAGGACTCGCATCTGCACCAGCAGTGTGGTTAGGCCATGTGCATTTCACCCAAAGAAACACTGGGGGAGAGCAGGGAGGAAAACCAGCTATCAGAATAGCTCATGACCAAAGAAGATAGTTTAAAGAATCAAATGAATATAATAAAAGGAAACAAAATAATAGAAATTAGGAACTCAAGGGACAGACTTGAAAGCAGATTTGATGCAGTGTTAGAAAAACCCGTGACCTGGAGTGGAGGATGGTCTGGAAGAAACCACCCAGAAACGAGAACAGAGACAAGAAGGTGAGGATTCCGAGTAGCGGAGGCAGCACAGGAGTCAGCTCCAGGGCCAGACCAGGGCACCTTCTGAAGCCCCAGGAGGAAGAGAGGGTCAGAGGGCATGGCTGAGACGCTCCCAGAACCGACTGTGTGTCAGTCCATCTGTTCAATCCCAGGATTCGCTCTAGAAAAATAAGAACAAAGCCGCAGCACGCAAGCAAGTGCTGGGAACTCAGGAAGCCAGGGACACGGACGTGACCTGAGAAGGAGGAGCTGCAGAAACCATGGAAGGTGGTACGGGAGCAGGCGGCCGACTCCCACAGCCGAGGGCCCAAGAGGGGAAGAAAACAAGGCCTGCCGCCCTCACAGCCGACCAGCAAGCGGCACAGGAGGAAAGAGAGAAGAACGGACCCCACTGGGGAGGGGGTGGGGTCGACCTTCAATCACAGGGGTCAGGGGAGAGATGTAGAGGGAGTCACAGACTGACCCAGTGGGCAGTGGCCATGTAGGGAACCCACAGGGGCCATGGGTTGTGAGAGGGTCTGCAGAACTAGTGGCAAGGACACCAGGCGTGCAGTGTGCAGCACCAGGCAGAGCCCCGTGCAGACTCCTGCCAGGACGGGGCAGCAGAGCTCCAAGCCAGCAAGAGAAGAGAAGGAAATGTAATGCAGGGACCAGTCGCCCAGGAAGACGGAGCACGGAAACCCGTCCCCCAGGCCTGCATCCAGCGGAGAGGGAGGAACGCTGCTCCGTGTGAAGACAGGCTGTCTAAATGCTCGCCACAGGGAAGCTGCAGACCACGCAGCAACGTGGACTCTGGAGGCCAGAGTGTCCTTCAGGGGGCCAGCGTGACCACCAGTCCCCAGCAGGGCCTTCACAGATGCAAGAGTCCACCCAAGGAAGCAGCCAGCCACGATCCTGCACGAGTCCCTTCCTGGTAATGTGTGTGGCCAAAACCGCCGGGGGCTCAGGCAGCTGGTGGGAGAGGCCATTGCTGTGGCCCTGAGCACATGTGCACTTTTTACGAATTCAGAGCCCTGTCTACTGTGGGCCTCGAGTCATTTTATAGGGTCATGTTCACATAGATCAACCTTGAGGGATGAAGTGTCCTGTCGTCTCTTGGTCTTTGGGGGACCATGAGAGCTTGCTTTAAAAGAGCTGCGTTCCCAAGTTTGGTGTGCAAACCACTGTGTGCGGCATCTTCCTGGCCTGTCCTCCCCGGCGGCTTGAGACCCCAGGGAGCCCAGGCAGCCTGGCCCATCCTTCCTGTGCTGGGATGAGGGACGTCCTTTGTCTTTGATGTGGGCACTCATCAAAGTTTTCACTGATGGCATCCGTGAAACAACAACAGGGTGACTTATCAGTCTGCAAGGAGAGTATGATGTTGGAGTGATCCTGACAACTTTATGTAAAAGAAAAACTTCTAGAAAAATGAAATTTACCAGATTCAATAACAAATACAGAACCAAAGTTTTTCTATAATCACTAAGGAAACGGAAGGAGTATTCTAAATTTTTCCTGCCAAGAAAGCTCTGCATCACAGGACAGTATCGGGGCATTCTTCCCGATGCTTGGAAAGACCCCAGGGACCCATGAGTGCTCCCAGGTGAGCGCTGCGCCTCCCTGAAGGTGACATCTCACAGGGACACACTTGAGTGGCCACTGGTGAGCTGTCTCGCTAAGGCGAAGCTGCTAGAACCTCCAGCAAGCGGTCATCAAACCGAATCCAGCCATCTATGAATGGGATCCATCATCCTCATCACCGAGTTGAGGTTTTATTAGGAATACAGAGTATGTTTTACATTAAAAAACAATTGATTTCACTCCTTATTACGTGAATTTTATGAAGTTCACTTATGTGCTTAGAGACTGAAGGAGAAGACTGGAAGCATCTTACTAGGAGTAGCGAAGGCATCTGATCAAAGCCGGTGCCCATCTGCAAGGTGAAGGGTGTCCTCAAAGCCACCAGGTGAGGGGCTGTGGTTGTGCCGAAGCACAGGACACTTTGGGTCAGGGTTCCACTGGCCCACTTCTGTGGGGTGGTGATGAATTCTCAGCCAGGCAGGAAAAAGAGCCGAACATAAAGTGATGGAAAGAAAGGGACATGGTGGTCACAGGTGCACATGAGGTGGAAGTGGGTGGAAAACCCAGAAGCTGCGGACAGACAACTGAGCAGAACCCCTGGGAGAACCAGTCGGCTGCCAGACAAAACGGGGGATGCAAAGAGTCTCACAGTGGACAGAGGGGAAGTCAGGGAGAGACGCCATCACAGCCATGCAGGCCACGGGCGCCCAGAGCAAGCCTAG